TCCCTCAGCTCTTCAGTTCAAGGCGAGTACTCTCACTTGAGCCACAGTGCCACTTCCAGTTTTCTGGTGGTTTACTGGAGATAATAATTTCACAGACTTTCCTGCCCGGGCTGGTTTTGAACCATGATCCTCAGATCTCAGCCTCCTAAGTAGCTAGGATTACAGGCGTGAGCCTCGAGAGCCCAGCTTAAAAGAGTATTTTTAATGTACAAGGGGAATTTTATTTTGTAATGTCCACAGATTTACCTCCTCTGTCAATCCCATGCCAATCTCAAGCTTCACTGTTCCATTTCCTACACATATACATAGTAGTTTGTTCACCTTCCTTCAGCCTATTTGCCTCTTCCATCCCACTAACACCCACACTCCAGAAAAGCCATGTTTCATCTTCCTAACGTGCATTTTTAAAGTACATGGTACCTGTTCAGAAGGATTTGCTGTGGTATTTCAACATGCACATATAGTACTAATCAGACCTGACCTGTCCCCGTATTGTTCAACAGCTCTTAATGGGTTTGGACTTACTATCTCCACTCACAGATGCAATGTACTTCAGTAGTATGATCCTGGACCATTCTTCTAATCTCAAGTCAATGTGTACATATATAAATGTGTAGATATTATGTATATATAATTTACACACACACGAAACCTTGTTATGTTTACTATGTTTATTCTCAGGTCTACCATCCACATGAGAAAATGCACAATCTTTGTTCTTCTAAACCTGGCTTACCTTGGCTAATATGGTCTTCAGATCCATCCATTTCCCATTAAAGGCCAGCTTCATTGTTCCTTATGAGTAATGCTCCACATTTTCTCAATTCAATCAGTTGTAGCGCATCTGGGCTGTTTCCCTCACTTGACATACATTCCTCCACATATATGCCCAAGAGTGGTATTACTGATCACATGGTAGGTTTTTTTCTTGAGGAACCACCTTACTGATCTCCGTAGCGGCTCCATTAGTTTACCTTTCCACCAGCAGTATGAGGGTGCCTCCCCTGAATCCTTGTCAGCATTAGTTGAGATTGTCTTCTTGTCATTTGGAATGGAGATGAAATCTCACCATTATTTTGTTTGTTTTATAGCCAGAGATGCCGAGCATTTCTTCATGTATTTGTTGGCCATTTGTACCTCTTGAAAAGTGTGTGTTCAATTCATTTGCCCACTTATCAATTGTTCATTCTTTAGGACTTCTTTAAACTCCCTGTGCATTCTGGTTATCAATCATTTATAGACTGTCTCTTCATCTCTGTAACTAGAAAAAGAACGGTTTTATATAAAGATTATTCAAAATTAAGTTATGGCATATGCACTGGACATAATCAAAACAAAGAAAAACTATGTCTGAGATTAATTTTAACAGGATTAATCATCTATGAACACAATGAGAGCCCTTACCTGAAACGTGATTCAAGTTGTAGGGCAGCTACTTAGCAAGAGCTGGAATTCAATCAGTACTGTCAAAACAAAACCAAAAACCTAAAAAACCATCAAAGTATAAACCACCCGTGGTAGTTCACGCTTACAACCCTACTTGCAGGGCAGGCTGACACATGAGGATGACAAGTTCAAGGACACCTTTTCTCAAATCCCACATCTGTTAAGAGGTTTTTCTGTCAAAAAAATCTCATCTAAACTAAAAAAAATTCATGTAAAAATGAGTAAAAATGTCCTATTTGACTTTGTTTGAAAAAGCTCAAAGTTTGAGTAGATAAATCAGCCTGGAAGAAATCGGGGAGAAAAAACTTGGAGTATCAAGTAAGCAAATGGCTATAGGTTTACACAACTCAGTTTTAAGGAACAGAAGGTTGCAAAAGAAAAAAAAAAACTGCAAGAGCAGTGACTTCTAAGAGCCTGTCCCAGATTGATTCTACACAGGCTCAGTTACTGTATTGACTTCATACATCCTGTAAGGCAGACACTATTATTCCCAATATACAGATAAAACTAGAAAGTTTCAGTCTTAAAGACAATCTTATTAGAAGCAAACAAACTTTCACAAGCCAAATTTAATCTTTTTTTTTTGGTCCATCCTGGTGCTTGAACTCTGGGCCTGGGCGCTGTCTCTTAGCTCTTTAGCTGAGGCTAGTGCTCTGCCACTTGAGCCACAGCACCTAATTCCAGCCTTTTCTGTTTATGTGGTGCTGAGGAATTCAACCCAGGGCCTCGTGCATGTGAGGCAAGCACTCTGCCATCAAGCCACCTTCCCAGCCCCTACAAGCCAAATTTAGTTATTCACTATGTTCATCAAGTACACACTAGAAAGACTAATAGAATAATAAATTCATAGGCTTAACTCAAATACCTTTTGTCAGTCTTGGGGCTTGAACTCCAGGTCTGGGCACTGTTCCTGAGCTCTTTAGCTGAAGACTAGTGCTCTACCACTTGAGCCACAGCGCCACTTCTGGTTTTCTTGTGGTTAATTGGAGATGAGTCTCACGGACTTTCCTGCCCAGACTGGCATTGAACCACAATCCTCAGATATCAGCCTCCTGAGTTGCTAGATTACAGGTGTGAGCCCCCAGGTGCACAGCTAATTCAAATACTTTAGTGCTAGAACAGCACCTAATTAAATTGGACAGACAGGTTTTTTTGTTGTTGTTTTGTGCTGGGCACTAAACTCTGGGACTCTTGTTTGTTAGTCAGGCACTTCACTGCTTGAGCCACACCTCCAGTCCTAGGTATAACTATTTTTGCTGTAAATTCTTAAAGCACCATGAATAATGCCTAGCAAGTACAAGCCCCTGAATTCAAATCTCATAATTGCACAACAAACACACTATAAACTAAAGTTAACATTACACTTAAGTAACTTACAAAGAATGTATTACCTCAGGAGGCTGAGATCTGAAAACCACAGTTCAAAGTCAGCCCAGCCAGAAAAGTCTGAGACTGTTCTCCAATAAACCACTAAAACCCAGAAGTGGAGCTGTGGTTCAAGTGGTAGAGTGCTAGATTTAAGCAAAAAGGGCCAGGGAGTTCCCAGACTGAGTCCAACCTAGTTCACACACATGCACACATGAATATATTACAGCGAAGAAAAAGAATCCTTAAATTAGTCTATATTGTGCTAAGTCAGGAGGATTACCTTTCGGGCTGGTCTTTATTAGGAAGTGTGAGGGATTTTTATGGTGACCTAGGTGATTATATGTAATGTTCATTTATGAAAAAAATTCATTGAAGAGTATGAGTGTAACAGTTTGGGGAGGTGTATTATATACTATACCTCTGTAAAAAAATCTGTATTATGGGAATAATATTCTCACCTAACTGCAAAAATAAAAATGGCAAATGTAAAATATCCAGCCAGTTTAGCAAGAGACTCATGAGGATGGAAGAACTACCTAACTTTTGCTACTACATGATCTTAACATTGCTTCTTGTAGTATCAGAGAACTTACATGCGGGTACTTCTAAAATCATTACTTCAACAGAATTTAAATTTGAAATATGAACATTTAATTCTAAAAACTTAATTATAAAATTTGTTTAACTCTACAGCTAATCAGTTATAGAAGATGTGAGTATTTGAAAAAATATTAACAGTAATAATAATAATAATAATGGGTATCAAACTGTGACGATTTAACAAATGACCCAGAATACTTTATGTGTCAAAATATCTTAAGTGTGTAAACTTAATTGGCTGGCTTTCATAATTCAGAACATTCTGAGTTTCTAAAAAGTCATACAATGTACCATATACCTCAGAATAGAACACTAATCAAACCCTTGCTACTTAGACAACAAAATATGAATATGGAAAGTGGAAAAGGCTTTAACATGTCATTTCAAGTCAGGTTACTATAGAGTGAATTTTATGTTAAATTTAAAGGAAAAAACCTTTTGAATTTTAGAATCATGAGGAAGATTATAAATCACCGAAGCTTATTAATTAACAAATTGTGCCATATGGTTAGTTAGGGAAAAAGTATAATTTAATCATTTCTTCACATGAGGTAGCAAAAAAATTATACATGGATTATGAGCACTTCTAGTTTTAACAACCATAGTAAAAGCTTAGAAAGAAGCCATGTATTTGAATCAATTTCCTGTGTCAAGGAAAAAGTGTATTTTACAAAGGAAATGGCATTTTGCTGTAAACTGATGAAAACTTTTTGGCAGAATTTAGCCAAACTGTACGCTTCTTCCTCTGGTAATTCTACTCTCTAAAGTGTCTGTCTCCTAAGTACCTAGTGGGATATATAAACGTTCATTTACAAAATGGCTCGTCACTATTTTAGTTTATTGTAGCTCAAGACTGGAAAGTGCTGAATGTTACATGAAGTGAAAAGCAAATTCAGAAGTTATGTTTACAGTATAAATCCAACGAAGAAAAAATTTAAGAAAGACAAGAGTCATAATGGTGAATTTTTTAAGAAGAGAAAGCAAAAGGAAATAGTAAAGTAAATCTTGACATATAATTTTGAGGAGCTAGGCATGGGCCTGAAGACAGCGGTTTGATCAGCATGGAATGCACAACATAGCAGTTTGCTTTTGCAGTTACCTTATCAAAAAAAAATCAACCTTCAGTTCCTTCCTAGTCATACCATCTTTGGCCTGAAAGTTGATGAGTGCTTTTCTCATTTGGAATTTAAAAATACTACAGGACTATCAACAATATCTAGGGCTAAAATAACAAAACATTTTAACTACACTACTTCTCAGACTTACTGATAGTTTTGAGTTGGCTTGTCATAGGTGGTGATGCTGTCTTTGGTGGTACACTTTCACTCTGAAATGCAGCCAATGGACCATCTGACTTGTTAAATGGGCTACCAGGTACCAGAATCCAATCAAAGCTCAGAACATTACATTTTATAAGCTAAAAGAGGATTACTGGCCAGGCGCCAGTAGCTCATGCCTGTAATCCTACCTATTCAGGAGACTGAAATCTAAGGATTGTGGTTTGAAGCCAGCACAGGCAAAAAAATGGTTGAGACTTGTGTTCCAAGTAACCACCAAAAAGTGGAGCTGTGGCTCAAATGGAAGAGTGCCAACCTTGAGCAAAAGTTCAGGGACAGCACCCAGGCCCACATTCAAGTCTCAGGACCAACACAAATCATAAATAAGGAATGAGGGTTACTGTTTATCTTCTGGTACAACTTATCTTTGGACTCCACCTAAAGGCTCCTGCCTAGTTCACAAAGAATCCTGAAGAAAATTAACTTGGTTTACTTGTATATAAATGCTCAGTACTTAGCACATATAATTTAATAAGAAAATCTCTAATTTTCAGTATTATGTGAATTGCAAAGGGAATTTAAACAACGTTTCTGGATAGGCTTGCCAATATAGATTCAAACTTGTGAAGGTAATGAAAATGTTTATTTCAAACCTGTCATATAATACCAAGCTGAGTTATATATAGAAATATTAACTGCATGATAGCTAGTGTTTTTAGGAATGGCCCACTGTCACATCAAAAATTTCTTACAACAGAATTTCTGCAGTAAAGTCCAACAATTAAGAAGACATCGTTTTTACTTTGAAAACTGTTGCATTAAGAGTATGATGTATTTATTTTTGTAAAGGCCCAGTACAAAAAATGGTTGAGGAAAATGACATTTTAACAAAATATACACCCGTAGAAAAAAATCCTAATATACTGACATTTAATTAAACAGAAAGCACTTGAGAACATACTTTAATATCTAGGCACAATTGGTCAGGTATTAATTATTTCTATTATTTAAAAGTTTAAACCAGGTCAACTTGTCTGTTGTATGAGTCCAATAGAGAAGGCACCTCTCTTACTCCCCTCAAGAATTTTTTGAGAGTAACTGTAACACTTTAAGGGAAACAAACAATGCGCTAGGTGTAAGTATAGATATAGTTGTTTAACACACCCTAACCATTTTATGAGAAACTAAGATTAAAATATAGCTAGGATTTGTCTTTTTACATCTTATGATGGGTGTGATTTCCTAAAAGGACACCAGAAGATAATCCTCCAAGCCAAGTTTTAACATAGAACACAAAATTTAAATTAAATATGCATTGGTCACTACTATGTGAAGAATTCTATGAATTAGTGCAATTCTTTATATCCCCGATGCTTAGGGGAAATTTTATATATACCAATAAATCTCAACTATTACATAACTCAACTTTTTATGGCTCAATAGTCTTAACCACTTAATGTTCTGTAAAAGATCTTAAAAGATATAAATGAAAAGGTCAGAACACTCAAATGGTTTACAAAAATTCTCTCTTTAAAACAAAGAGAACAGAATGACCAGAAAGAATAAAGTGTAAAATTTCAGGAATATAGTTTTTTTAAACTACTATTATGAGGTGATAAAGGGGTTATAAAGTATTGACTCTAGAAAAACAGTCCACCAAACTATTGCTTTCTGATTAAATACTTTACTACCAGTCAAGATGGTGACCCATTTGTTTTTACTTAGTGGCTATGTATTCAAATATCTTACTAAACAACCACTGAAAGTAATTTCTAAAGACAAACATCATTTTCCTCCAAAAGGAGTAAGAAACTTTTGTGAATAAACCTCAGAAAGGGATCATGACAAGTAAAAACAAAACAAAACAAAACAGTGTAAGAACATTAGGCTAATTTAACCTCCATTTCAACAAGATATGTACAATATTTACAATATGCACTGGTCAAAAGCTATACAATTTTGCAGACTGGCTTTACTTACATTTCTGCAAACGTTTTTGCCAAAATAAAATTATTTCAAGGAAGTCTATTTACAAACTAGGTAGCTGCTTCAGAAACAGCATGATTTAAAGTGAAATTTCAGTACAATGAAAGTGCAGGTCACGTTTTCAGATTCCGTCAGCATCCCATTTCCTACACTCATGTTAAAGGGATTATATTATAGTTCTAAATGCTATACTGTTCTTATATAGTCAGAGTGCTTTACTCATCATAATGCAATGATAACAAAAATTTGTCCACATCCATTCCAGCTGGAAATGAACTAGGTAGCTTCTTTTTCTGTCAAAAAAAAAAAAAAAAAAGAAAATAATTAACTCAAGATCAGATGGTTTTCTTTATAAATCACCTAAAACCTTACACTGGGTTCTTTTATTCTTTTTACTGGGTCCTATTAAGATAAAGTAGATTAGAATTTTAATCCTACAGATAGTTTTTCTGGTTGGTCATGGGGCCTGAACTCTGGGCCTAGACGCTGTCCCTCAGCTCTTCAGCTCCAGGCTAGCGCTCTACCATTTAATCATAGCACTACTTCCGGCCTTTTCTGTTTATTTAGTGCTGAGGAATCAAACCCAGGGCCTCACACATGCAAGGCAAGCACCACCTTCCCAGCCCCGACAGATAGATTTAATTAACTTTAGTTTAACGTTAGATCAGGGCAAAAGGCTTGAATCCAGAATCTGTGAATGCTAAATGAGACAAAACAACATGCTTTCTGTAAAGTGGCCATTACTGCCAAACTATATACCTTAAAAAGCTGAACAGATATTAAAAAGTTTCAGGCATGTATCAAATTCCAAACATTGACTATGCACCAGGTAGTTTATATTCACCCTAGTTATTCTTACAACTATAGGGTAGGAACAATGGTAAATTTAATGCTCAATGATGAGGCTGAGAATCAGAGAAGCTAGACGAAACCAGTTTGCCACAGAGGCACCAGAGCAGACACTGCATCAAAGCCAGGCTTGCCGAGCACCAAACTAAGATTGCTTCCCCCTCTACACTATGCTTCCTCTATGACATCCTAAGTATCTTCAATATTTTGTAAAAAAGCAAAAAAAAAAAAAAACCACACACACACACACATATCCAGTGATTCTGGTTTGGTTCATCAATGCTATAGTCTACACTGCTTTCTACAGATCCTCACAGAAAAATTGAGTTTTTCCACATTCACATCAATGAGGATGGTAGAAGAGACGAGACATGAAGAAAACCTCTAGGTATGAAAGGAGCACAGGAGAATTTCACTCAGTAATTAGATATTAGTAGCATTTTCCCAATCTTCCATACCTCAATCATTCTCAGGAAAAACAAAAACTACAACAAAAAAACTTGCATTTTTAATGACAAACTCTTACTTCCCCAGGGAGACGTTTATAAATGCCTTAGCCATTGTTTCAAAACAATCTTGTTTCACCCGGACAACTTGTGAGTACGATGGTACAATCTCTGTCAATCAGGACAACACTGTCTTGATTAAGAGTTGATCAGGTAGTATTAGCAAAGAAAAAAAAAACAACTGTTGACTTCTCCAATATGAGAAGGGGGGAAGGGAAAGGTGTGGTTTGAGATTAGAACTTTACTTGCCTTGATTTTCTTCTTTTTCATCGGCACTGAGGAGTTTGTGAGATTTTTAGTAGACGGACGGGAGTTGCGCTCCCGTTCATCTAACTCCTCAATTTTCCGCTTTTTTGTGGTGCTCCTGGATGATGTTCGAAACTGCTGCGTGTTGTCTTTCAGGGGGGTTGTGGAAGTCCTGGAGATGGCCGCTCTGGAGAGAATCATCAGGGTGTGGGCGGCCATGTTGACGCTGTTCTCACTGCCCGTCTCGCTGGCAGGGCTGCAGGCAGGCAAGTCCGAGGCAGCAGGAGGAATCATGACTTTGGGAGCACCGCTGTCCTCACCAAAACGCCGACTAGAGGGCACTTTGATGCCATCTGTAGGTTCTTCTTTATGCTTTTCCCCTGCTCCTGAGCCAGGAGTCCGGGGTATGGGCAAATCACTATCGGTGAGTCTGTTTACTGGGCTATGCAACTGAACGTCCTGTAATATTTCTGTGGTAATCAAAGAACTGCAAGATTTAGTTTGTTCTTGTTTGAGATCCTTCACAGCTGTGCCTACTGAAACATGTTTACTGTTTGAGGATGTGGCTTGTTTTTTGGTCAATTCTTGCAGTGAAGATACAGTTTTCTCACTTCGTAAACTCCCATTTTGTTGCCCAATAGGCAGTTTTGAAGTGTCTGGATTTTTCTGCCTTTCTACATCCCTACATAATTCATTTTCCTTGTTAGCTGTTGCTTTATGGAAAGATTCAAGCACCATTTCTGTTGGTGAACCTTTTTTTTCAGGTTGAGTTTCTCTTACAGTGTTAGGCCGGCCAATGGAAGTTTCTGATTTAGATAGAATCTTGGGCAGAGGGGTTTTCTCTCTCTCTCTTTTGAAACCATTATTAGAGGGGGATTTTAAGGTGGAGGACACAATGGGTGAGTCAAGGTGAGGAAAGAGAATCTCACTCCTGTCTTTATTTTGGGAGACCACCTTTGGGTTTGTCACAGAAGTAGCAGCACTATCAAAACAGAGCACACGCCTGTGGCGCTCCACTGGCTTGCCAGCGGGGACTGAATTCTCTGCAGAGGGTACAAGTGTGTTTTCTTCCAATTTTTTCCCCAGTTCTGTGGCCATATTCTTGTCAGAAAGTTCAGTTCTACGAAAACAAAAATAAAACCCCACAATGTTTCCAGTAACATAAAGGAACCTTTTGCTTTTAATCTGAGCATTCAGTAACCTATGTTAGAGCTATCTTCTGCTCACCTTTGTACTTGAGATCCAACTGAGTAACTTGACGAATCTGCCAAATTATTGACCTGTTTGCCTGGAAGTACAGAACAAATTCATTAGAAAACCAACATTCTTGAGAAAAAAAAAACAGAAACATCCTCTGAAAGAGGAGGAAACCAATGACATTATTACACACTGTATAAGATCATCTAAAGGACAGTTATGTGTAAGCCAAACATTCTCACATACTGGCTCTTTCAAGTAGCTTTGTTAAAGTATCTATAAAATGGCCATGCATCTACTTTACAGAGGAAATCTCCACATAACTCTAAGGCCCTGCTTCAACTTCAGGCACGTATTATGAACGCAGTCTTAGTAAATCTAAGAATTACAATGTTCCATTCAGCACCCAAAGCACTGCTGTCATCAGGGGAATGGTTCTAATGACCCTATCCACAGATGCTCAGGTTCCTTATAAAAAAATGGTGTTGCACTTGCCCATCCTTTAAATCTTCTCTAAATTACTTAAAATACCCAATACAAGGCAAATGCCATGTAATAGTTGTTCTGTACATGTTTTTAACATGGAGATAATTTCCCCCCCCCTGAAAATTTTCTACTTGTGGTTGGTTGAATCTGTGAATACTGAACCCATAGACTCAGGTGTTAATTAGAAAACAAACAAGAAGCTGGGTGCTGGTGGTTTATGCCTAAATTCAAGATACCCAGCAGGCTGAGATCTGAGGATCACAGTTCAAAGCAGCCAAAGCGGGAAAAGTCTGTGAGACTCGTAACTTCTATTAAACACCAGAAAACTGGAAGTGGCACCGTGGCCCAAAGTGGTAGAGCGAGGGCTGGGAAGGTGGCTCAGTGGTAGAGCGCTTGCCTTGCATGCTTGAGGCCCTGGGTTCAATTCCTGAGCACCACATAAGCAGAAAAAAAAAGCCGGAAGTGGTGCTGTGGCTCAAGTTGTAGAGACCATGACCAGAACCCCCCACCCCCCCCCAAAAAAAAGAAGTGGTAGAGCCATAACCTTGAGTAAAAGAGATCAGAGACAGTACCCAGGCCGAGTTCAAGCCCCATGGCTGACCAAAAAACAACAGCAACAAAAACAGAAAACAAGAAGGGAGGCCAGAGTAAGTTATTATGGATATAACTTACATGAAAAATGATGAATATTTGAATGTATTAGGTACTAACACATTTCTCCTAATTCAAATATTCATCAGGGTTTTTGTTTGCTGGTACTGTTTTTTTTTTTTTTTCTTTTTTTGTCGGTCGTGGGCCTTGAACTCTAGGCCTGGGCACTATCCCTCAGCTCTTCAGCTCAAGGCTAGTGCTCTACCACTTGAGGCACAGCGCCACTTCCGGCTTTTTCTGCTTATGTGATGCTGAATTGAACCCAGGGCCTCATGCATGCAAGGCAAGTACTCTACCATTGGAGACACCTTCCCAGCCCTGGTACTGGGGTTTGAAATTAGCACTCTACCACTTGAGCTATGCCTTCAGCCTGGTTTTTTGTTAGTTATTTTGGAGACAAACTTTTACCAACTATTCTGCTCAGGTTGACTTTGAACAGCCTCCTGAGTAGCTAGGATTACAAACATGAGCCACCAGCACCCAGCTACTCTTGGTTTTTTGATACAGGTAAATAAATGGTTGGGCCATAGCTAATATAAGGGATAAAGGAAAATGATTTACAAACTCTACAGCCTTGCTATCCAGTTTTTATCAGTATCAGCAGCACTGGCTGCTCAAAGCTTGTTGAAGGACTCCCGACTCTGAATCAGTCCTGCATTTCACAAGATCCCAGGTAGTTCACATATAAATTAAGAAATGGAAAGTACTGCTCTCAAGTCCCATGTAAGTATACTAGGAATTTACTAAACACTTCAAGGCTATCAGGAGAAACAGAAATTAAGAACAATCCAAGGACGTGGACAAAAGTTAAAGATTTAACAAAGGAAGAACTTTATCAGAACTAAAGTTGTTCAATGACAGTTGCAACAACAGAGAATACAAAGCACAGAGAATACAAAGCTTTAAGTATGATAGTCTCACCACCACCAAGCATTCCAAATCAAAACAGCTGCTGCAAACACATGAGTATGAGGGTATAAAGCTGATATAAGTAGCTTAAAAAAAATCACCCTCAAAAAAATGAGATACCTGTACAAGGCTTTGCTCTTAGTCCTTGAGTCTTCTGAGATTTTGGAGGAACAGGGAATTGAGGGATACTTGTACTGCACACAGGTGCTGCTAACGGCATATGAAGGACCTAGAGAGAAGAAGCCATCGATTATGCTGTGTCTGTGAAGTTCCACTGCACCATTTCTAACTCACAAATCTTACCTGCTGAGGAGGGGCAGAAAAGGTATTTCCATTCTGACCAACTACAGACACAGGAATCATCCCCACCATTCCCTGGAGTACGGGCTGCACTGGAGAAGCAATTATGATAGCAGAGCCTAAATAATAAAAGAAAACTCACATTAGAAGATTTCCTCTCATCTTCTGGCATAAGGTATCAAAGTAATTCATGTTTTCAAATAAATGTCATGAACATCCCACCTTGACAATCTAACACTTCTCCAAAAACTTTTTTGTGCATTATATTTATTGTTAGTATGAAGTAGTTGGACAAAGGGGTTACATTGCATAAGTCAGGCTATGAGTACAATACTTCTTGGTCCATATCACTCCTTCCTTCTTTCTCCCCTAAAAAACTCATTTAAGAACAACAGCAAGACTAACAAATGAAGAAAAGGACAATCTGAAAATTAAGGTGTTACTGAACTTAGGCATGGGACACTAGCATAAACAAGCATAGGATACAGCTGGAATGTATTACACCTTGACTCCTCAAAAGAACAGTGAAACTCAACAGTAGTAAATGTTTCGAGTATTAATCTTATGCCAGAAATAGAGTCAACTGAATGTTTACGACCTAAGTCTAGGCTTATAACTGCAACAGGTTATGTCTTAACAATATTGGTCAAAAAGGGCATAGGTATTTGCTAACCACAAAGAACCACTGGGTAAGAACTGTGATTACATGTTTTTTTTTTTTTGCCGGTCATGGGGCCTAAACTCTGGGTCTGGGTGTTGGTCCTCAGTTCTTCAGCTCAAAGCTAGTGCTCACCACTTGAGCCACAGCACCACTTCTGGCCTTTTCTGCTTATGTGGTGCTGAGGAATTGAACCCAGGGCCTCATGCATGCAAGCCAAGCACTCTACCACTGAGCCACCTTCCCAGCCCGACTACATAAGTTATTAGCCAATCACACTGTGATTATAGAAATTTAGTCGTGCCCTATAAATTGGCTTTTTCCTAATACTAACATTTACTACTACAGCCAGATGCATTTCCTCACTTTCAGTCACAGCTTCCAGCCGCTCAAAAGCCTGTGCATGTGTATGCTGCTGCCCTTCCTTTCCATCAGCTCTAAATTTCTCTAAGCTTTGGCTCAATCCCCACACTTGCTACCAATTCTAGCTTCTCTTTGTAAGACAGAACTGAAGGAGATAACGTTTAAATTTAACCAAATCTGTGTGCCTGTTTTAAAACAAAAATAAAAGGGTATGAGGAACTTGAGAACTCTTACATATGGAAATGGGGATGCCTGTGCACAAGCTGGACTTCTGAGGAGTTCACAATCAAGGGTGAACATGGCCGGCACTGCCTACATATAAAACAGCCTGTGATGAACACAAAGCCTCCTCTGAACAATTCAGCTCTAAATACAGGACTCTTGATTTTGCAAGGCAGAAGAGAAATTACTGGTAACTATTTCTAGGCAGTCTTTTCCATTTGAGCCATGCCCTAGTTAGTATTTTTTGCTTTTTTGTTTTCAAATAGGATCTCATATTAACTTTGCCTGAACTTCCCTCAATCCAAGGTCCTTTCCACTTTTGCCTCCCAGGTAGCTGGGATTCCAAGCATGTCACACCATGCCTAGCTTGTTTTGGAGATAAGAGGTTCTGTAACTTTTTGCCTGGGGTGGACTCGAATCATAATCCTCCCTCCATGCCTGGCTAGAAGAGTTTTATGGAAGAGAAATTTCAAGTTGCCTTTCAAAGTCTCTCCAAATATAAGACAAATGCCTGGAAAACTAGGACCGTAACAACTAAAAACAACTCCTTTGTCACTGGGTTTCAACAGGTACTACGTGATGAGCTTTTTTCATTTCCAGTTATGTTCTTAAAGTTACCTTGTGAAAAGTTTGGTGACACAGCTTGGTTGAGAGCGAACACACTGTTTGACCTTGGTGGGGTCTGTAACTGAGGTGGAGGAAGAGGTGTCGTGATAGGGGCAGAATTCCCAGGTAATACCACAACATTTGACTGACTGACAGTTGTTCCCAAGGCTGTTGGGTCAGTCACACAAGTAGCTATCAGAATGTTATTTGAATTGCCAAAAGTTGTGCTTGTGGTAGGTATCAACTGTATGTATCCTCCATCCTTGGAAACACACGGGGTAACGCTGGTGGAGAAAGCAATGCTGTCTTCATTCTGAGCACTGCTTATTGCTGAGTCCTCAGGTTTGAGTACTAAGAGGCTCTGCTCTGCTGAGGATGAATCTCCAACTTCAACAGAAACAATGGCACCTGCCGGTTCTTCTGAAGATAAGCTTTTAACAAATTCTGCACTTTTGGCAGGTGACTTGGGAGAAGACAAAATTATAGTTGGTAAGTTTTCTCCACTGATACTAGACACGGCGTTGTTAAGTTCAGTATCTGAGGAAACAAATGGATCATCACTAATTATAATTTTAAGAGAGACAATATTTGATGCATCCAACTCTGCTGAGTTGTCACTGGAAGGTTTATCATCAGTACCTTGGGACTCTGGGTGAGAATTCCCCATGGAGGAAATGCCGGCTTCTGAAGGAGAGTGACTAGTTTTTATAGGATCGCTTTCTGGAGGCATCAGTGCTATGTCGCCACAATTTTCATTTCCAGCCAGAGAGAGAAAAAGAGAATCTCCATCTTCTTTCATGGAAGATGAAGGCTCTTGTGAATACACAATAACTTTCTCCGCTTTGTGTGGCTCAGTTTCATTTTCCATAGGATTTAACTCAATTGATGCTGGATCATTTGGTGCTTGTTTCACTGGAGAAACTGGATCTTCCAGGCAAATTTCTACTTGCTCAGATATATCTAAGCCTGGGCTTTCAACGGTTATAGGTAACATTTTACTTTCAAGTGAACAACTATCTTGGCAATTTGGTAGTCGTTTTGTTGCAACTGGTGGTACACTATTACTTTCAACTTTATTCTTGTGAGTCTCACTACAATCTGGTGACTTAGCACTATGGAAATTTGTCTTAAGTCTTGCTGTATTATTAGAATTTTCACAAAGCTGACTTTTTTTAGATGGCTTTCCAGTTACTGGAGTATTTGGGGATAAAAGTTGAGAACTTTTCCCAGAGAGAATTAAGTTTTCATTGTTGGTTTCACCACCTAGTGAAACAAATGAAGTAATTGGTATATCAGGCTGATCAGGCTGTACTTGACATTCATTCGGTATATTTGGGGACAAACAGGTCTTCTCAACCTCCATAACCATTTCAGTTCCAGTGGCCATCTGACTGGTGTACAATTCAGTACAATGCTGATTACATGCAACATCAGGACTTCCTCTTTGGCTGAAGTCACTGAGAGCTGCCACTGACTCAAAGGTAATGTCAAGATTACACTTCTGTTCAGTAGGTACAGATGTTTTAGAAGTCTTTTTCTGGATGCTAGAGCCTATTTGGGAAAAATTTTCCTGTGTTTTCTGTCCTAACACATCATGGTCGTTGTCATTCTTCAAAGCACTTAACACATCTTCATTCTGATAAGATGTACAAAATGGGGGCTGACTAGGTTGACCATCTGCAAAATACCAGTATGATGGAAAGACATGGTGAATATGTTTATTTCTTTACCGTACAACCTATTTTGCTAAGGAAGTACTAATCTTTATTCTTACTGATGCCTTTTTAACCAAGTGTCAATCTTTTTCTAAGACTCTTCGAAAACAGATGACACCATGAATAAAAAATTGAAGTTTAAAAATATCGAATATTTATAGTATGGTTTAAAAAAAAATCAAACAAAAGAAAAACCCACAAAAAAACGAAGAAAATAAAAACAACTGGTTCCACACATTATTAGAAATACAGTGGTAGTACTGGTGGTGATGTTGTTTCAATACATTGACTTTTCAACAGTGTTCCACTGTTTCTATTGATCTTTTTTCTTAGAAGTTGAATGGAGGGGGAACATTTTGCATTATCAATATATGATCTGTGTGTACTGTTTAACATTCAACACATATTTACTGAAGACCAACCATATGCATGGTTCTGGAATACAAAGATGAATGATCCAGTCTCTGATCTTGGAGAGATTAGTCTAGTAGGGAAGCAGATATAGAACAGAAAGTTATAATAAAGCATGGTAAAAACTGTAATAGCACAGGAACAAAAGGCACTTCTTTTTGCCTATGGGACAAGAAACAAAATGTTGTAAAGGAGGTGCTGTGTCAGATGATCTTGAGAAACAAGGGAAGTATGACAGACAAAGTAAGAGTTAAAATGTTTTGGAAATCAACATAGCACTATTCAGGATAGAAAATGTTAACTTGAACTAATATGATAAAATACAGGGAAGACCCAGACAAATCAGACTTCTATCAAAGTGGTGACACAGAAAATACTAGGTAAAATCCATTCAAATCCTTATTACATGGGAGAATAAGGAAAACTATGTTTAGGCCACATAAATTCAGTGTAGGTAATTTCTTTCTTATTTCTAAGTGCTAGGGATGCAAATGAGGGTCTTTTTTATGGAATATAAATTATTTAATACTCATTCACTAAGAAAACAAGTTTTCAAGTTTGGTTTTGTCCAAAGTGAAGCTAAATGAAGCTACACTTCTACATATAATAGAAGCATACACTACATTCTAGTTCAGATTAAGAGGAAATGGAGGACTGAACTTGGTTGCTGGCAGATGATTGAAAAAAAGATGTAGGCTGGAAGGTGGCTCAGTGGTAGAGCGCTTGCCTTGCATGCATGAGGCCTTGGGTTCGATTCCTCAGCACCACATAAGCAAAAAGAAAAAAGCTGGAAGTAGCGCTGTGGTAGAGCGCTAGCCTTGAGCTGAAGAGCTGAGGGACAGCGCCCAGGCCCAGAGTTCAGGCCCACGACCGGACCAAAAAGAAAAAAAAGAAAAAAAGATGTTCCAAAACTAGTTTTTGAAGATAAGGTGTGGAAAATTGGTATTTATTTTTTTATATTTTTATACAGGGTGGGAGGTGATGACTTCTAAAAACAGGTGAACAGAAAAGATAGCAAAACTCAGACAAGGAGCAGAGGTGGTACTGAAGCAAAAAGTATAGCAAGGCAGGATGGTAGTCATCCCTGGGGAACAGGGATGCAGGAGCACACAAGGAACAGTTATGAATCAGGTTTTTATGGCACTGGCAATATTCCATTTTTTCCTTTTTTAACTCAGGAGAGGATTGTATATGTATTTCCTTGATTTGGCTGATTACATTATTCAATGGGACACATGCAATTTTATTATGTACTTCTGTATTATCTGCTATACTGTACAATAAGATATTCTAAAATTCAAGCCTATCACTATATTATACAACTCCCTCCCCAACTCCTACATGACAGATACAGACCCTGAGTAGTCTCACTTGGGCCCCCTTACTTGGCTCAATGACTTCTCTCATGTGACCTTTGCAGATTAGGGGTTCGAATGGGCCTCACTAAAATTATTGTTATAGATTTTTGTCTACCTTGTCAACACTAGTACTATTAAATCATGCATGCCATAAATCTACTGCATTTAAGGAATAGATACTAAAAATCACCTATTAAAGTACTAAAAACCTAGGAGTCATTTTTATTAATGGAGAGATAATTAGAAATGTAAAAAAATAACCTACTAGTAATATGAACTACTTCCAATTTAAAGAATGTTTTTGAGTTTTGAGATTCTCTGTTTCGATCGAAAATATTAACAAAATCACATACTTACCAGATTCTTCTGTTTCAAAGGAGCTTTTAATAGCTGGATTTGTTTCTTCTGCCAGGACAATATTAGTACTGACTTCCATATGCTGACTGGAAATGCTTTGTGATAAATTTTTGTTATTCTTTGTTTTACCTGTTAAGGAACAGGAAATAATTAAATGACCAAATTAAAAATAAACATGAGTATTGCTTGGCAGTGGCCAAACAAATTTTAAACTTTGATTTTAGTTGTGGGATTTGGTTATTTTTTTTAAAAATTATACATATTAAAATCTGCTTTGTGTATCATTGGTAAGTATATATACAAAAACTTCTTTACCAGACTGTTGTGTTGTTTTTGTGTTTTATTTTATCTTTTAAACAGGTCTTACTATGTTGTGGTCTATACTGTAAGTAAGTGTGGGGTTCAAAACGACTTTAGCCTGTCAGCCTACTGGAGTGACAAGATTACAGGTATTTGCCACAATATCTGCTAGAACTGGTGGTTATTAAACTTAATCCCCTATATTAAGAGCTTTTGGAAGACCCATCAATTTGCATATCTAACAGCTTTTCATATAAATGTTGATACTGGAGCAGGGGGGATGGGAAGGGATGGGAAGGGGAACAATGCTTGATAAGAAATGTACTCATTATCTTGCCCATGTAATTGTAACCCCTCTGTACAGTATTTTCACAATAAAAAAAAATTAAAAAAAGTAAATGTTGATACTGTTGGTGTGGGGAACTATCCTTTGAGAACTGCTGGCTTAGATCCTTAGAAAGTTGCTTGTATACCTCTCCATCATTCAAATGGAGCTGGTACTGCTGTAGAAAACCTCAACAGTCTCTGCTGACTTGTCAAATGCCAAGAAAAAATAAACATTGTTCTCCATTTTCATAACTTTCCTTACAACAAAACAAAGCTGACAAAAGTCCCCTCTGTATCCATAGTGTTGCTCGAACGAAATGGGACTTTTTTTTTCTGATGTTCTGGGTAATGTTGTTTTACTCTGCTTAAGTTAGCAAAGAAACTGGAACCTTTTTGCTTTTGACTTAAAAAAAACTGGTCTACTTACCATAGTCAAAGAGATCAAAGAGTGCTTGAAATGCTGGGTCTGATTCTGTCTGTTCCAATATATCCTGTATAACTTCTTCAGACATGTGGATCTCACTCTGAAGAAAAATGAAGGCACTATCTTAATTGAACTAACATGACTTAATAGCAGAAAAACTAATTAGCAGGCATTTGGCAGTTTTTACTTTCTGTGTAGAGCATTTCCTTCAAGAAAATTTCCCAATTACACTATGCTCATTTAAGAGAAAATATGGCCAGGTACCAGTGGATGTTCATCCCTGGAACCCTAGCTACTTGAGAAGTTGAGATCTGAGGATCACAGTTCAATGCCAGCCCAAGCAGGAAAGTCTGTGAGATTCTTTATCTGCAATTAACTACCAGAAACCAGAAAGTAGTGCTGTGGCTCACAGTGGTAGAGCGCTAGGCCTGAGTATAGTAGCTCAGGGACAGGACTCAGGCCCTGAGTTCAAGACCCATGACCAACAACAAAAAAGAAAACAGCAAGACTAGGAAACAGAATGTAACTGTTAATTCATTCCAGTTCCTACATTTAAATTACTTTGGTGATTTTTAAAACCTATGTATATTTCTGAGCATTAAATCACAGAAAATAATTTAAAATCAGAAACATTACTATCAATTTTAACTGCAACACACACACACACAGAGAGAGAGAGAGAGAGAGAGAGAGAGAGATACCGGAAGTCCCAGGAGTTCATCAATTGAAGTTTCTGGCTCAGTTGGGTTGCTGTCAGTTTGCTTAGGCACTTGAGCAATATTGTTATCACTGTAAGATAGGAAAGAAAACTTTAGCATAGTTATGCAATTAGGAGTATGAACTAGGGATTTTAAGCATAGATTACCTTACCTAATCAAAAATTTATTAATGTTTTCTGCTAGTTTTTCTTGAAGTGATTTGTTGCTTAATATTTTTTCTCGTGCATTTTCAATAACCATTTGCTGGAAAACAAAGCTGATATTAATAGAAGGCTAGGAAAGAATATTATATTGTCTGAAAAAAAATTCACTGGAGCCAGGAAAAACTCATGTTTTGGTGTCTCCTCCATATTAAAACATGAATACAACATTTTACAATTTAGGACTATTTCCACATCATTCACCAACTCTTTCTTAATTGCTTAAAGAATATAGGTCTATCCTCTTGAGCTCACTGCCAAAGTGTTTAATAATCTGGTCTCAGTGAATGTCCTATTATATTGTATTACCAACAGAAAACTTAGTTTTCTAAATGTGTCAATGTTTCTTATTTGGTGAACTGCCCAAGTATCCTCTCTTCACATACTAACTCACAGTCCGTATCTCTGATTCTCTATCCCAAGACAGTTCTTCTGCAGTTTTACAGAAAAACTGTATTTTTCTACACACACCCACTTGTGCAGGTAGCAGTGGCTTTAAATTAAGGAATCATTTCAAGTTGCAAGGTTTGGAATGGCCACTTACTTTTTCTACTGCAAAGGCATTTGGATCCTGGAAATTCCGTATGGTTGAATGAGGCCCAGACAAAGTGAAACTTTTCTTTTGTGAGTCACTGAAACACATTTTAAAATACTATGTTTAACAGGTCCAGTGATAAATACAAACAACTAAAATTTAAGATCATGCAGAACAGATATTTACTGTTACACAGAAGAGTAGAAAATCCATTACTGACTTGGAAGAAATCAATGTGAGGTCTAGCTTTACATTTGCTGACTATGGAGTCTTAGTATGAAGCTCTGATCCTTACACCCACTTTATGATGGTATAAGATCAATTGCGTTATTAAGCTTAACGAAATAAAATGTGGAGAAATAAAGCATATACAAAGCACATACAAAGATGTTCTTTTTTTTCAAGTCAAAAGAAGCCAAGTTTTCTATAAATACTAGATGTATAATAATGCTATTTTACTATGTTATGTGGTTAATTGACAATATTTGCAAAAAAGGAGTCCTGAAAGGTGGGGGGAAAAAGGACCATTGAAATTGTAAGCCTTGAGTTGGAGATAATTCAGTAAAAACAAAAAACAACAAAAACAAATTATATGGGTTAGCAGATGAGAAATAAGGAAAAATTTTTTTAAACTTTTATCTTTCTTGAAGGTCTTCAGAGATAAAAGAAAGGGCTTACCATGAAAACTGTACCTGAAACAATTCTATCAGCTAATTAAAACTTCAGTGTGTTTGCATATCATGAAATGTAATGGTATCACATATTTGTTTAAACCAATGCTTACCTCAAAAGTTTGAAATACTATCAGTTTTAAGATATACCATTATTGTGTATGCATTACAGGGGAAAAAAAAATTCCCAATGAAACTTCGATATACCATTGATTAAAGGACGAAATCCAGCTTTAGGGACGTTAAAATGTACACAGATATGTGTTTTGGCATTATACACATTCCATGTAATAGATTACCCCAAGAATTTAATCAGATCCTGCACCTGATTCACAATGTAAATTTGATGCAATTCTTTTGTTTTAATTGGTAACTAACAATATGTCCTCTATAAAAAAGCATTTACCTTTTTCTTCTACCAGGAGACATTAAACTGGTATGAGTTTTCCTTTCCTGAGGACCAGGAACGGTATTTAGTGCTTCTCCAGCTGTATCTAAAAGAAAACAAAATAGTAAGCCAAAGAAGCTAAATAGTTTACAAAACTTCAAATGAGATAAAAAGCATTAAATACTGATCATTATTTTGTGTTACATTCAGTAACATTTGATTGTTTACCGTGTGCGTAGCATTATAAAAGACATTACATTAAGATTAATGAATTATAGTCACAATCCCTTAATGGCTTATAATATAGTGTGGCTTTCTCAATTTAAAAAGAAGTGGCAGTGGAAGAAGTATAAACTAAACTCTGAGTATAGAAAATGATTTGAATTAAAGATGGAAATGAGAGAGATGTTAGTGAACAACATAGAAGACTGGGAAATGAGAGCTGACTCCTGAATTTGAATCCTAATGCAACTAAGATCTAGTTTCTTGCTTCAATGACCATGTTTTTACTATACAAGAAGCAAGATATACTACATGATCTCTAAGGTCATTTCTAGCTCTATAACTGAGCTAGGAATAAAAAAAAAATTTCAACACATAGAGATAAAATGAACTGGAAGAATATTCCTTAATCTGGGACAGACGCTGGCATTAAGGAAGGTAAGGAAACATAGCAGGATATTCTCTAAAAATGCCATATAATAAAGAATTAGAACAGAATTCAAGGCTGGAATTCAATATTATAAACAGGAAAAGCTATAGATTAAAAGACTTCTGGATTTTATTTATGTTTATTGTGCGACAAAGCTAACTAAAGTAAGTTTCCACTTCTAATTTTTCTCATTTTCCCCCATAATTCTTTACTAAGAGTATAAAAAAAACCAGATCAACTCATTTGTGTAATTTGATTCACAACATTGAAGAGAACAAAATGTAAACTTACTAGTTGCAATATCTTGTGATTGTGAATTGTTGACTACTACAAAATTTGACTTTAATGGAGCTGTAATTTGGCCAGTAGATTTACCATCTTGTGTAGCTATCAAAGGAGCAGTGGTAAACTGTCCTGAAACGTAAGGCAAAATCAGTACTTCTGAAGTGGCAGGAGCTGCTTGAGATGCAAGCCTTCTCTGTCGTTTGATTTCTGCAATTCCATTTCTAGTTCGAGCTGAAACACACGAACATTATTACAAAATTAACTCTAAAGGGCCTAGTTGTTGGGGGTATTTTTATTTTATTTTTTTGGTGCTAGTCATGGCACTGAACACAAGGCTTGAGTACTATCTCTGAATTTCTTTTGCTCAAGGCTAATCCTCTACCACTTGAGCACAACACTTCTGGCTTTTTCTGCATAGTTTATTGGAGATAAAGAGTCCCATGAACTTTTCTATTCGGGCTGGCTTCAAACCACGATCTCAGCCTCTAGAGTAGCTAGGTTTATAGGTATAAGCCATTAGTACCCAGCTATAGTTTGGGATTTTAATAAATCAATACAATGCATTACCAAACAATATATAACACAATTAGTATATTTATTGACTAAAAGACACTCTTAAAAAAAAATCAACTGATGGGGCTGGGAAGGTGGCTCAATGGTAAGAGCACTAGCCTGGAGCTGAAGAGCTGAGGGACAGCGCCCAGGCCCAGAGTTCAGGCCCCATGACTAGACCAAAATAAATAAATAAATAAACTGAATTTAGTTTCACAAAGACCTAAAATTCATTTAAATTCAAAATCCAGCAGTACATCTGTTTCTTACAATTCATACTGTTAAAAACCCCACAAATTAAACTCAAGACTATAGAATAAGATGTTTTTAGATGATAGCTAATGAGAAAACGCTATTTAATATATATATATGATTTCTATACATAATTACATAAAAATCAGAATGTGTAACTAACTCAGTAATTAGCAAATGTAACTTCAGTAAAATATATATCTAGCGTAAGTATTAAGTAGAATACTGATTAGACAGTTTGAATTGGAAGGAATTCTGAACATTATTTAAAGTTGAATACCTACCTCTCTGATGAGCAGCAAATCCTGGGGAACTTTGCATGCTCCTATAAGTAAAACAAAGGAAATACTCATTAAAATCTTTTGTGGATGAGATAATGTTCTGGTTTGTTCAGTCAGACCTGAACTATATGATGAATAAAAGGTAACAGTGCTGTCTTAAGACACATTTTTCTGGGAAAACTCAGATTTGTTCAGAAAAAGTAACATACAAACACTCATACAATGTAATTTTAATAGTGTAACTTGATTTTAGGAACTTTATGTACTTAAGTAAGCTATGAATAAAGGATAACATTTTCAACTGTATAATTATAGAGATGCTTCCCCCACACCCAAAAAATCTTGATTTCATTTGTATCAATACTTCAGAATCCCAAAGTTCATGACAAACAACGTTGTACTTTGACCAGATTTATGGCTATGAAATTACTTTACCTAACCTTTGAAAAGGAAAAAAAGCAAAAAGTACAAGTGTTTTTTTTTCTACTAAGTTATCCACCACTGCATTTGGTAAGCGGTAAGACACTTTTTCCTAGAAAATGTATCAAATAAGCCTCATCAACAAGAGCCACCAACTTACTGAAATGAATGAAGCACACAATACTTTATCCAGATAAAACTTGGATAAGAATATTTAATTTTTCACTAGGTGTTTGTGACTTGGGCCTGTAATCTTAGCTACTAAGGAGGCTGAGATCTAGGATTGTGGTTTGAAGCAGGCCCAGGAAGGAAGTCTGGTTATTTGGAGATAGTCTCCAAAAAACTAGATGTGAAGATGTAGCTCAAATGGTAGAGCCCTGGCCTTGAGCACAAAAACAAAAGGAGGGTGCCCAGACCCTGTGTTCAAGCCATAGTGCTGGCATAAAACAATACAAAACAAAAAAATCCTTTAAAAAATGTTATAGCTTGTCAATAAATATCCCAATAACATATACTGTGTTTATAGATGCAAAATTGTGAACACTTTGATTATTTGCAAGGACAGAAAGAGAAGTCAGAGATGATAATTTAAGTAATTTAGATAGACCATCCATTAAGATGTAATACAGAAGTGAGATGGGACAGTCACTGGTAGCTATAGAGTAAGGATTCTAAAGAGATAATGCTTAACAAGTAAGAGTTGTTATAAAAATTGGCAGAAGTAGAGCTGGCATCCGTCCAAGAGTGAATGACACTGACATTCTAAGATTAGGAACCAGGAAAGATAGAACATTAATACCATGATCAACACGGTACTATAGGTGGGTAAGTCTAGCGTAGCCTTATCCTTCTTTACAAAGAAAGCATGGACTCAACACATTATTTCTCTTAATACACAATGTATTCTCTGAATACAAAAGGGAATGGACAGTAGGTTGGATTAAGAAATTTATAGCCCAGCTGGGTGCCAATGGCTCACACCTGTAATCCTAGCTACTCAGGAGGCTGAGATCTGAGGATCTTGGTTCAAAGCCAGTCCAGGCAGGAAACCGTGAGACTCCTATCTCCAATAAACCACCAGAAAACCGGAAGTGGCGCTGTGGCTCAAGTGGTAGAGTGCTTGCCTTGAGCTGAAGAGCTAAGGACAGTGCCCAGGCCCAGAGTTTAAGCCCCATGACTGACGAAAAAAAAAACAAAAAAGTGACACTGTGGCTCAAGCAGTAGAGCGCTTGCCTTGAGCTGAAGAGTGCAGGGACAGTGCCCAAGCCCAGAGTTCAAGCCCCATGACTGACAAAAAAACAAAACAAAACAAAATTTATAGCCCAAATTGCCTCTAAGTTGCTAAACAATATCTCAATTTTCTCATTTGCAAAACATTTTACTAGAAGTATACAATTTGTTTCAAATTCTACAAACAAAAGACAAAGAAACATTAGCCTCTTAAACAATATTAAAATTAGAGGTCTTATGAATAAGCTACCGTGTAGATCTTAAGATTTAAACGTGTTTTATAGTCTAAAGGCATTATATACATTTTAATAAGCTTAATACCTGATTTGAGAAAGTGTGTGGTCTAACTTCTTCCACAGTGATGACATTATTGTTGGGACGTCATTTGATGTTTCTAAATCAAAAGAGAAAATAAATCCAGTTGGAGAAAACTCATCAATTTGAAGAAACACACAGCAAATCACAGAAAACAACTGTTATGTTATGCTTGCTAATGGGCTACAAAGTAACAAGTGTGCTGTCTGCATAAGCAACACAGATGTTGACATGATGAACAGAAATGGACCTGTATAAAAAACCTGTAGGTTTTATAGGTCAATTACTTTGTATCTTCTTCTTTTTTAAAAAATCTTTCTTCTATCTGGTATCATTCAGAAAGTGAACTAAAACAACTTGGGTTACAACAAATAATTATGCTAGTCACTTTTTTTTTTCCTGTCGGTTGTGGGACTTAAACTCTGGGCCTGGGCGCTGTCCCTGAGCTCTTCAGCAAAAGGCCAGCGCTCTACCCCTTCAGCCACAGTGCCACTTCCAGTTTTCTGGTGGTTAATTGGAGACAAGAGTCCGCGAACTTTTCCTGCCCAGGCTGGCTTTTTGAACTGCGGTGCTCAGATCTCAGCCTCCTGAGTAGCTAGAATTATAGGTGTGATCCACTGGTGCCTGGCTGCTAGTCACTTTTTAATGATAATTACTCTGCTTGTATTATAAGCCATAAACTATAGAAATAATCTACAGTAGAGAACAAGCAGTAACAATTTCCCCACTAAATTAAAACTGTCTGTCTGAAACTGTAATACACAGCAAAGACTGAATTAATAATTTTCTCTCTTTTTTAAAGGATTTTGGTTAATTTTTTGAGTTTTAGAATTTTTGTTTTACTAAATACAAACACAAATGAATTGTTTCAAATAATATTTATGTCTAGGTAGCTGAGACAATTTCTCAGGGCTTTATGACACTAAGCCTTTCAAAAATTATCTCTAATAACAAGTAAATGCTGTATAAAACAGACAAATTCTTGAACCTGAATTCTTCTTACCTTTTGCTTTCATAGCTACATATTCATTCAAAATTGTGGTCAAGTTTTTTCCAAATAAGGACTGAAAAGAAAAAAATCAAGCATTACCCAAATCTCAAAATGCCAATTACTTTTTTTTTTTTTTTTTGGTGAGTTATAGGGCCTGGACTCTGGGCCTGGGTACTAGTACCTCAGCTCTTCAGCTCAAGGCTAGCATATTACCACTTGAGCCACAGTGCCACTCCGACTTTTTCTGCTTATGTGGTACTGAGGAATTGAACCCAGGGCTTCATGCAAGCAAGGCAAGCGCTCTACCACTGAGCCACCTTCCAAGCCCTGTTCCTTCCTTCTCTCTCATTTCCTCCCTCCCATCACTGCCCTTGAGCTGCTTTGTTCACTTTCATCAATGTCCAGTGCAGTTGATGGGACTCTCCGCTGTATTTTTTCACCCACTTTCCATTGCTTCTGTGCTCTGCTCCCCACTTTCCTCAGACGTGCACATACACCATATATGAGGTAAAGAATGGAGTCATCTTAAAAACGATAGGACAAATTAAGAAGAGGTCCTCTGTCTCCTTATCTTTGGGGTTGTTTTCAGTATGCCTATTATTTTATGTACAAATGAAGGGGTGCTTGGGCATTGCGATTTGGTGCTTTTCTCCTGAGAAATCCTCTTTTGGTCACTGTGTATGGGTAACTTGAGTCCTGTTTTGTCATATCTCATTGTATTTTAATACCTGCGTATCAGGGAGAACATGTGCTGTTTGTCCCTCTGATCTTGGCTTACCTTGCTCAACATGATTTGTTCTAGTTCCATCCATTTCCCTATGAATGCCATTATTTAATCCTTCTAGCTGAGTTTTTAATAATTAATTTACTCTCTGTGTTGGTCATGATGAAGTATTTCCTTTAAGGAAGAAATAACTTACCAGTAAGCAGGCTGGGATGAAACTTTCATCAGTACAATGTTCTGCATACTCTTTTAAATTTGAACTTTCCAAAATAAAAGTCTGGCAGGTAGAAGTGAGGTTTTCTTGTTGTAAGTAACCTAAATAAAAAATACAAGTTAATACATTTTCAGTAAATCCTGGACCTTTGGTAAAACTGCTACTGAAAATACTAGAACATATCATAAACAGAATCTTAGACAGAGCAGGCTGGTATCTTACAGCCATGATTAGAAATACAAGTTTGTACTCCAATACAAAGGTAATAAGTAGAATAGGTGGCTTCTTCATAAGAAACAATTCTAGCTAAGCTTGTGGAATGAGGTGTATGACAAAGTGTAATTACTTCTTAGTAATGTTTATAGGAAAACCAATAAAGAAATGGTTAAAAAAAAAAAGATCGCTCCTCTATCTTGTAATTTCCATAATGACTAGAGCAGTCCATGGCATAAATCCTATTACTGAATTAACACTCCCCGTATCTTCTTGATGTTGATTACTTGCATGCCTCCCTATCTGCCTAGTGATTTACTACTCAAATTGAAAGACCAGCCAACAGTGTGTGAGAGGTAAGAAATTCTTCAGGTTTTTATACCCTTTGGGAATCGAAGTATTACTAATTCTAATAAGAACTTTATCCTTAACAAGGTAAGAGGTTATAATTGTTCAGCGGTGCATAAACCATGCCCCAACGCACGCACAGAGCCTACTGGCAAACAATGAGGAACTTACCTGATCCTGGTATTTAAGGAATGTCCATTCACAGAATATAAACCCTTAGAAGAACATAGGCTTTATAGATTTGACTCAAAGAGCTCACTAAATAACAAGCACCAGCTAAAATAACAGCAAATTAAAATCCCAAGACAGAAACATTTATGAGCTGACTCTGAAGCAGTATATAGTGGAAAATTTTTAGCTACAAATATATATGAAAAAAGATGAAACATCTTAACAGTCTAGGCTTCAAGCTTAAAAAATCAAGAGGGAAATAAGTCCTCAGCAGGCAGAAAGAAGTTAAGAGTACCAATAACTGACCTACAGATAAGGGAAACAATAGGAAAAAAAAACACCCCAAACCCAATAAAGCCAAAAGTTCAAACAAAACAAAACTAACGAAATCTTCAGTTAGACTGGCCAGAAGAAAAATGACTCAAATTACTAAAATTTGGAATATAAGAGCTTACATGATTATCTACATTTTAGAAATACATATAGGATTGTAAAGGAATATTATAAAACAGTTGTACAACAAAAATGTAGACTCTAGCTAAAACTGGTAACTCCAGAAATACACAAACTACCAGAACTGACTGGCATCTTGAAAAAATAGAAAATTTAAATTAAATTTCTAATAACATTTTGAGCAAAAATCTTTTGCTCACAAAACAAGCTTAGGCCCAAATGGTTTTGTTGGTTTGTGAAATACACAAAACAATGAGTTAGGAAGAGTTAATACTGATCCTTCATGAATTCTTTCAAAGGTATTTATTTATATGTGTGTATACATTCATGTGTGTATATATGTACATATACACACATAGAGATAACGTAGATAATATATGCTTAATAAACACCCAACTCCACATTATCCTTGCAAGATGCGCTACGAAACACTTTGACAAAATCTTTCCTTAAAAACACTTGCAAAAGGTTTTCTAGAAACAACACCTAAAACACAAGCAACCAAAACAAGGCAAGTATCAAAATTTGAAACTTATATGCTTCCAATGACACTATCTAGAAAGTGATGGCAGATGACAAAATGGAAGACATTTGCAAATCATATACCTGGTAAGGGACTACAAGCCTAACTACATAACTAACTCTTAATGAACAGTAATAAAAAGTAGTCTTAAGAAACTGGGAAAGGTTTTGAAGCACTTTTTATCTCCTCTTTTGGTGGTTCTGGGGTTTGATCTCAGGGTCTCTAGCTTGCTAGGCAAGGGTCTATGGTTGAGCCATGCCCTCCAGCTCTGGATACCAAGATATAAATATCTCTTCACCAAAGATATGAAAATTGCTAATAAACCCATGTAAAGTTACTCAACTTCATTTGTCATTAGGAAAATATGTGGTCAAGACCACAATGAATTACCAATTCACAAACACTAGGATAACAAAAAACACAGTCATGACGTAGATCCATTTTGAAAATAAACCATGCTGGGGCAGGGGGCATAGCTCAAGAGGTAAATCATAAGACCAGCAATCGCAAGTCCCTGAGTTCAAACCCCAGAACCACAAAAAACAAAAGACAAGTGAATGAAGTCAAAGATCATCATATTATATTTCATTTACATTCAGTGCCCCAAAATAGCAAATATATATGTACAGCTAATTCTTTAAAACTAATTTCCTCTTTGACCTATCCAATGCCATTCTATCTCTTCATGCCCAAGAATGACCTTTTCTTCTTAAACTCTCATGGTAAATAGCTTTCTAGATCATCTTAGTGGGTTTTTAAAAATTTATTAAGGCATTGTACAGAGGGGTTACCATTTCGTAAGTCAGGTAATGGGTAATTTATTTTTTTGGAGGACACCACCCCCTTCTTTGCTTTTCCCCAGTTTCAGTGGAGTTTTTTTTATTACTACGACCTAGTTAAAAATACAGTTACAGGTGACAACAGTACAGCCCTATAATTTTTGAGAACTTAGAAATAATTTCCATAAAGAAATTTTTAGTTACTAACAAAAATTCCTACTAATCCAGTGCTGATAAAAATATTCTACAAAGGCAAGTATGAGGGGCTGGGAAGGTGGCTCAGTGGTAGACTGCTTGCCTTACATGCAGGAGGCCCTGGGTTCGATTCCTCAGTACCACATAAACAGAAAAGGCCAGAAGTGGCGCTGTGGCTCATGTGGTGGAGTGCTAGCCTTGAGCTGAAGAGCTGGGGGACTGTGCCCAGGCCCAGAGTTTAGGCCCCACAACCAACCAAAAGAAAGAGGCAATACTTGTAAGTATTAATACCTAAAGTATTAATTACCTAAAGTATTAATTAATACCTAAATACCTAATACCATACCTATGGTACACAGAGGGTTAAAAAAAATGTTCTTAGGGATGGGGTTGGAAGGTATGGGGGAGAATGATCAAGACACATTGTGCTCATACATGGCTTGGTTGAATGGTAATTCAATTACAACTAAAGATAATTCAAAAAATAGTTCACATAATTCAAGGCATACCATAAGGCAGTATGTGCTTACATAGCACACACTTGAGAAAAGGCTCAAGTTAGGGGCTAGGAATGTGGCCTAGTGGTAGAGTGCTTGCCTAGCATGGATGAGGTTAATGCCTAGCAAGTCCGGGGTTCTATTCCTCAGTACCACATACACAGAGAAAGCCAAAAGTGGCACTGTGGCTCAAGTGGTAGAATACTAGCTTGAGCTGAAGAGCTGAGGGACAGTGCCCAGGCTGAGAGGCTAAGCCCTATAAGCAAAAAAAAAAGAAAAAAAAAAAAAAGTTCAAGTTATAACCATACTGATATTAGAGGTAGTATGTTCTGCTTTTTAAAAACATGTTTAGGGCTGGGAATGTGGCTTAGTGGTATCTTGCCTAGTAGGTGTGAAGCCCTGGGTTTGATTTTTCAGTATCACATAAAGAGAAAAAGGCAAAAGTGGTGTTATGGCTCAAGTGGTAGAGTGCTAGCCTTGGGCTAAAGCAGCTCAGGGACAGTGCCCAGGCCCTGAGTTCAAGCCCCAGTACTGACAATAAATAAATAATAAAGTGCTTACTTGAGCAAGTTAGAGTTCCCATTTTAGATTTTACGTATTGTGCTTTACTTGTGTCCTAGAAGTTTAAAAATTCTGCAGTAAACAGTTGGAAACTTGTTGTCATGATACCAGATTAACTAGTTATTTGCCTACAAAAATGTTTCCAATTATCAAGAAACCAATTCTCAATCAGGTGATGGAAAGATAAAACCCTAACTCCATCAAGGTTACCAACTTTCCCTCTCTTCTTCCTACTTATAAGGAAGGAAAAATAAAGAGCAAGAAGCCTGAAAAGTCTTGTTTATGAAAATATCATGAGATATTCTACCAATTTCCAGGATGGTTCAATGTCCTTGAAAACTTAACTCTTAGGAAGACTTAACTTACAAAGCCTTGGATTACTAGATCCACAAACAGAAGCAAGGTCTCAATCTATAAATAATCTGTGATCTACAAGGAGACAGAAGATATTAGCACAAATAACTGCAATGCAAGAGTGGTAAGAAAACAGGAGTGGTTTACTTCATGGAAACATCCGGGTTCTAGAGACTGGCACCAGGCTTGGGGGAAATCATGCAATGCTTCAAGGAGGAGGTGAGTCCTGAAGGCTGGGAACCTCAGAGACACAGAAAACATGCAGAGTTGATTTGGGGAAACATGCTCAATAGGGATGCAATACAAACCATGTAAACTGAACAGCTGGATATGCAGCAGAAAAGACAAAATAGGTAAGGACCTTGAAAAGCTCATTACTGATATTCTAGTAATGAGTACAAGTATCATTCAGCTAGATGAAGGGGAATGACATGATCACAGTTGTACTTTGTAAATACTTACTAAAAATACCTATGTCTCAGTGACATATCTGCTAATAGAACCAGTGATTCTTGATCCATTGGGGGATGTGCCCGTCCCGGTCCTGTCTGCCCTCAAATGCATTCTTCTTTCTTCCCCGTCTCTCTTCTGTAGGGAGGAAGCCTGCCCTCCAAATAGGCAAGCTCTCTCAGGCTCACATGTCAACTAGTTTCATGGGAAGCTCTGGTAGCAGATTAGAGGGCAAAAGGAAGAAGCCCATTCTCTCACCCCCTTTTTAGAATTTCCTCTGTGACCAGAGCTCATACAAGTCTTAGTGCCGTATTCCAAGCCTCAGTTTACTCTGGGTTGCTTTATGTCTCCTAGTCCTTCTGATGAGTGTAGTAAGCTTTCTGCTGGGCTAATCTCTGAGCTGCTTCAGGTAAACCATTAGGCGTCTTAGTTTTTCTATCACTAGTGTAACCAATTCCCTTATTAAATCTTACTATGTTGAACATCCACACTGGTTTCTGCAAGTAACTATTTAGCAAAACTGAAGAAATTCTTGACCCTTTACCTATAAAAAGGGCCCCATAGTTTTGGAAGCTCCCATAACTATTTAAGCACAACTATTTCAACTTTTAGAACAGGTGGTATGATGTGAATGCTTTAAGAAGATAGCTAACAAAGGCAAATAAGATGAACAGCAAGAAGAACAAGTAAAGAGGAAGTCCCAACAGAAGTCCAAGACCAAATGTGATGAGGTACACTGCTAGGACTGATGGCAGGAAGAATGGTAATGTGAATAACAGGTTTTGAGGATTAAAAAGAAATGACTTGAATTTTTGTTCATTAAACAGAAAAATGGCACTCACTCAGAAGAAGAACTTATTTGTGGACAAAGAATACAACTTGAAGTGAATTATCCGATTAAAAAAACAAATTGTTTTCTTAAGGATTTCTTGCTTAAGGGTGATTTTTGCCCTTGGGGGACATACTGGCAATAGAAACATTTTTCCTTCTCACAACTTGGGCAGGAGTGAGGGTGTATTAAAGATATCTAGTGGCTAGCCGTCAAGGATGTTTTTAAGTATTAAAGCACAGGACAATTCTATATAACCATTATCCATTCCAAAATGTCAAGAATGTCAAGGTGGAGAAACTATATTTAAGCTTATGATTACTGAAACTCATGTGGATCACCAAATTGCTAAAAGTAAAACCATAAAATATTCTTGGGGGTACTAAGGTTTGAATCCAGGACGTGCTCATGCTTATTAAGTAAGCTTATTATTACTTGGAGCCTAAAAGTCAAACTTCTTAAGCAAACAATATATATGGGGCAGGAGGGCAGGGGGCGAGAGGGTATGTCTGTATACTGTGAAAGTTTACTTTTCACCCATTTACATATAAACCTCATAAATGTAACAACCACAAGATTAGCGACATTTTAAAACCATGGGTATGAATGTTAGGTTAGTTACAAGTGTTCGATTCTGTTAAAAATAGATAGAAGGTTAAATACACATGAACACAATAGTAATTTGTAATTTTCAGTTATTAGTGTCTCAAAAAAAAAAATGGCCGGTGAAGCCATTTCCCCCGAGTGTTTCCTGTAAAATGTACCCATGAAGAACACCACACACATCTTTTGGACAGGGCTATTTGAAAATATGGAGAAAACAAATGGGCGTTTTTCCCAACAATAAAATAATGGCAGCGATGCCTGTGGAAACCAAGAGAGACCCGGTCTCAGTACGGACTTTTTTTTTTTTTGTCGTTTACTTTCAGCGTTGTCGCAGACGATGTTTGTAAATCCTCGGCTAGGGTTTTGAGCTGGGGTGGCTCCTATTCCCAACCGTACAATAATCCCTTTTACACGGGAGCCAAACAACAACAAAACCCGACTCTCACACAGACAATACTCCCCCTCCCCACCCCCCAGAGAGCTAAGTGGCCCACGAACTACCCAAGTACAAATGGAGGAGAACCCTAGGACTGGAGAACGTGTTCTAACCCAGAAGGCGCAGGTCCCCTCGCAGGGTCTTTTGCTCATCCAAAAAGAATCCGAGCTGCAGCAGCAGCAAAACATGCAACTTGCATTTCAAACCTCCACCCCGGGCGACGTCTTGCGTGGAGGTCTGGGAGGGACAGATCACCACCCACCCCCACCCCGGCCCCACATTTCGTCGTCCTCACGTCGGATCGGGAGAAGGGCGTCAGGAAGGGCTTTTCCCCAGGGCTGAGCGAAATCAATCCGCCTCTCCCTTATCCTGGAACCCGCTCCGACCAGGGAGAGGCTGAAAGAACACCACACGCAGCCCGTCCCGCACGTTAGAGGAGCCCGGTCTCGGGGGTCCCCGATCGAGGGTGCAGGCCTGGCGCTTCCCCGCGAGTCCAGGCCCCCCGCCACCCGGGCGGTCCGGGCCGACCCCCGCCGGCAGCATCTTCACACCCCCCCCCCGCATCCCCACGGCCCCGTTCACACGATCCACGGCCCCGGCAGGACCGGGAATCCCCGCCACACGGAAAGCAGGGGTGGGGGCGAAACCCCGAAGCTTCCCCACCCAGGAGAAGCCTCCGGCCCCGGAGGTCCTTCCGTCCCGCTCGGCCGAAGGTCTCGAACCCCCCCTCCCCCGGTGCCCTTCCCTTCCTCCCTCCCGGTCCGCGCTTACCCAAAACCAGCCGAGCCACATCCGAGGGGAGCAACATGGTCCACGCCGCGGCAGGAGCCGCAGAGAGCGAAGAGACCCGGGTGAAAGCAAACGCAGCGGCGGCGGCGGCGGGGCCGCATCTCCCGGTTCCAGTGGCGGCACTGAACCCGCGGCAATTTGTCCCGCCTCTTTCGTTCCACGCCAACCAACCGCTTCCGCGGAAGAAAGAAAGGCGCCGAAATGAAACCCGCCCCCGTTCGCCTCGGAGCTGTCGTCATTTCCGCCCTCAGGCTTGGCAGGCTGGCGCTGAGGAGGGAGGGCGAGGGGGCGGAGTGCAGCCTTCGCAGCCTGCGGGCGAGCCACACACGCGAGGCCGCTCGCCATTGGTGAACGCGGCGCAGGCGCGGTTCCTCTGACCTGGAGGAATTTTTCTTTCTCTTTTTTTTTTTTTTTCCGTGGAAGAAGGGGTGGACGAATGTTTTGAACGGAGCCCGTGACGTCCGCACGCACGCGCAGAGAGTCCTCACGAGACCCCTTTCTGCGCCGGGGCGAGGGGGGAGAAGCTCGAGCTCTTTCTGCGCACGCGCTGAACTGCTGGTCGCTGCCTGCCTGCTCCCTACCACACGTCCACGCTGTGCGTTCGCGCCGCGTTTGAACCGCAAGCGGGAGCAGAGTGTGTGCGCTCCCTGGTGCAAAACAAACCAACCAACCAGCCAACCTCGGGGAGCCAAAATAAGCGAGGCGAGTGGGAGCCGCCGTCGCTTCCGGAGCAACGGCTTGGTCGGTCGCGGCCGCGGTGCGGGGTCTGTGAGGGGACGCCCGCGTAGGATTCGGGCCTTCCTCGCTCCCCGGTCCCGCCCGGTGCCGGGTCCTGCACCCGGAGCGGCCCTCGGCGGCTCTCCAGCCCGTCGGTCCCCACCTCCTCTCCCCGAACCCCGAGTGGACTTAAGAGGCCCGGAGTGGCACCCCCTCCCTGTGGGGCGGCCCGCTTTCCTGTCACCCCCGGGTCTAGATGTACGTAAGTGGCTTGACTAACCCATTTCTCTCCCTCTTGGAGAAGAAACCCCGACTGTGGGGGCTGGGACTCGGGGCTGGGGCTCTGCAGCCGCCGCCTGGTGACCTCCCCGGACGGGTCCCCTGGGAGGCTGGCAGTCCTGAGCCGAGGTGAGGGCTCGGGGGTTAGAGGGGGGAGCGTCTCGGCTCTTCACTCCCCCCACCCCAGGTACTGAGAGTCAGGACGATGACTCCATTTCGCAGCGAAGAACCAGTGATAGAAAACTCTATTGTAGAGTTTCTCTGGAAGTTTACCCCGAGCGAATCAAATTCTTAGTCTTCGGTTGTTTTGGAGAAGAAAAGGAGCTTCTATGGACAGGAGCGGGTGTGTGGGGGGGAGGGGGGAGGTAGGAATGAATGTAAAGGCACTAAGTATGGAAGGTCCTTTATAAAGAGCTCGAGAGAGAGATCTGAAATCAAGTGAAATAGATTGGGAGAGTTTTCTGCATGGTGAAGTCATACGAGTGGATGGCAGTAAGGCCTTTGAAATCTGATCAGAAGAAAAAGCCATCCGGAGGCTGAGTCAGAAAGATATACGATAATTACATAACATTTGTGGGTTCCAGCACTGTGTTAAAATAAATCTATCCCAGGTACTAGTTTTATCACTGAGAAAACAAATGAAGAGATTTGGTCGTCTGCTTTATGACTTTTAAGTGGTGGGTTGCAGATTTGAACCAATACAATATTCGTATATATACGAATGTATATATACGAATATGTATATACGAATGTGTATATGTATATACATATACACATATGTATATGTACAATCCTAAGTAGCTGTATAAAGGTGTTGCCATTCAACCAAGTGGTTTATGAATACAGTGCAGTAGCAAACAAGTGACGTTGAAGCATTGTTTTGACATATTTAAAGAAAGTCTTACATGGAAACATAAAGAAAAATCATTGTGCCCTTGATTACAGTGTGCTGCTAGTTGTACAATTAGACCTAATTACATATCAGTACCTTAGTCTATAAAAATTATATATAGGCTAGGAGTGTGGCTCAGTGGTAGAGTATATATATCTTGGTATGTATAGCCTTAGCTCAAATACCAGCATCAAAAAAGTAAGTTAAATGAATATGCATTTATTTACTTTTAGTCTTTTATTGCTATTATAAAGGTGATGTACAGAGGGGTTATAGTTATTGCTACAGAGGGCTTAATGCAAAGAGGAGTTATAATTTCTTAAATCAGGTGATGAGTACATTTCTTTTTTTTGTTTGTTTTTGTCTTTGCTTTTTGTTGGTCATGGGGCTTGAACTCTGGGCCTGGGCACTGTCCCTCCACTCTTCAGCTCAAGGTGAGCGCTCTACCACGTGAGTCACAGCGCCACTTCTTCTTTTCTGGTGGTTAATTGGAGATAAGAGTCTCACAGACTTTCATGCCCGGGCTTGCTTTGAACCATGATCTTCAGATCTCAGCCTCCTGAGTTGCTAGGACTACAGGTGTGAGCCACTGGGCCCCACAATGAGTATGTTTCTTTTTAGACAATGTCATGCCTTCCCTCACTCTCTCCTGGTTTTTACCTCCATCCCCACCCACAAGTTGTATAGTTCATTTTCTACATAGTGTCTAGTGACTACCACTGCTGCATGTGTTCACCCCATTCCCTATATTTATTTGTTTTGCAGTAAGGATGTATGTTCTGCAATTCTGAACCATGAGTCTAGCACTTAATGATTTGCTTATTTGCTGCCGGCAACTGGAACATGACAGAGCTACAGAACGAAGGGTAATAAATTATTGATATTTAATGTTTCCTTGAAAAAATGTGTGATAGGTAACACATTACTAATGTTTGTCTTTCATTTGCAGAAAGAAGTTGAGAAATTTAAGCGTCTAATTCGGGACCCTGAAACAGTTCAACATTTAGATAGGCATTCAGATTCCAAACAAGGAAAATACTTGAATTGGGATGCTGTTTTTAGGTATTCTGTTCTGATTTTCTTTATTACCTTTTTCTGTTAGTTTTGAAATCTTTATCTTTGCTTACTTTATTATCATTGTGTCTTATGTATAAAATTGACAGTTATCCAAAACATAGTTTTTAAAGAATGTTCATATCATTTATTCAACAAAATATCGTAGACATACCTCACTCAAGACTGAGAAGGAAGCTAGGAATGGGGAAAATTGAATGTAATACCAGCACTCAGTAGACTGCAAAGAGTATCACAACTTCAAGGCTAGATTGAGCTATATACGTTTAGGCCGACTTGGCCTATGTGAGATCCAGTCTAAAAAGAAAAAAATCCAAAAAAGATTGGAAAGTTATATTTGTACTTAAAAGGAAATATAAATATTTAGTTATCTTGGACTATTTAGAACACATACATTATTTATTTGGTACTAGACGGTTAAAGATCTGAATATATACAATGTGAAAAATACCTGCTCCATTTTCCTCTAGTTATTTTATTTCAGGTGCCACAAATACAATTATTACCTAAAAATAAATACTGTTTTATATAAGCTGGTTAGGTAGGCCATGTGTATAGCTGATATCTCTGGCTAGTCATGAATGTCTTTAAGGTGAGGTTTATTCATTTAAATGATAGATACCTTAGGAAAAATGTAAGGAAGATTGAAAGCCACTAACAACATTGTAATGATAAAAATAATTTAATGATGAAACAATAATGCAGATAAGTCAATTACAAAGTAATAAACCTTACAAATTAAGAGTTTTTTAGGGAGAGACTGTATTGGTATTATGTTAGGCCTTGTAATTGGTTTCATTTACTTGTACGTTGAACAAAGCAATGTGTTGAAAAATTGCTCTTTGTGATAGAACACAGTACTTTTTGAAAGCATAAAAAATTTAGCATTAATGAGTTTTTGAAATTCTGTTTTGTTTTTTTAAAGATTTTTACAGAAATATATTCAGAAAGAAACAGAATGTCTAAGAACAGCCAAACCAAATGTCTCCGCCTCAACACAAACCTCCAGACAGAAAAAGATGCAGGAAATTAGTAGCTTGGTCAGATACTTCATCAAATGTGCAAACAAAAGTAAGCAACATTTTTTTTTGTTTTTTTTTTGGGGGGGGGGTCCGGTCGGTCGTGGGGCCTGACTCTGGGCCTGGGTGCTGTCCCTCAGCTCTTCGGCTCAAGGCTAGCGCTCTACCACTTGAGCCACAGCGCCACTTCCAGCTTTTTTCTTTTTGCTTATGTGGTGCTGAGGAATTGAACCCAGGGCCTCATGCATGCAAGGCAAGCGCTCTACTACTGAGCCACCTTCCCAGCCCCTTTTTAAAATTTTTAGTGATACTGGATTTAAACTCAGGGCCTGAAGTTCATTTGGCAGTTACAGGAATGAGCCATTGGTGTCTAGCCCAGTGGAATTAAGAGTAATTTTCTATAGCTTAAAATGTGGCCCACCTGATGAGGCCATGAGTCCACTCCCCAGAAAAACACACACACACACACACACACACACACACACACGTAAATTTATCATACAGAATTATTTTCATCATAGCCATTTCAAATGCCCTTTATTTATTTATTTTTTGGTTTTGTTTGTTTGTTGGTTTTTTTTTGCCCTTTATTTTTTTAAGAATGATTTGTTTCTTTGTTTTGCTATTATGTAGGAGCACCCAGGTTAAAATGTCAAGAGCTCTTGATTTATATCATGGATACGGTGAAAGATTCATATAATGGTGTTATATATGGAGCTGATTGTAGCAACATATTACTCAAAGACATTCTTTCAGTGAGAAAATACTGGTGTGAAATATCTCAGCAACAATGGCTAGGTAAGTTTTGAAGGTTGGTTGTGAACTTTTTTTTCAGTATAAAATGGTATGTCACCAGTAAAAGCTGTCTGTGTCTCAAATGATCTCACAGCATAATGTATCTTTAGGGGAATTACATGGTTACAAAATCTGATTTTTATTTCCTTTATATCTGAATTATTAAATTACTAGTAATACTTTAAATGCTTACCTATGGAACCAGAATTACAGATTTGAAACACTGCTTTCCTCTTCTCATGGAGTCAAGGAATCCAATGGCAGAAAAAAAACTGAAGTCAAACTTAAAATGTCATATGGATTCTTTGGGCACACAGAGCAGTGTGCCTCTGAACCATGAGTATAGGAAATAAGAGAAAACTAAAGAGAAGTGTTGTAAAAGTGAAAGCAAAGAGTTTCAGGTTTGAAGGGAGGTGGAGAGCATCATAGATATTGTAGAAAGGTTATAACACAGAAGTAAGGATTAGGGCACTTCTTAGTTATTGGTAAAACAATGAAAACTAAATGTATTATGATAGAATGCATCAGGCTTAACTAAACATGAAAAAAAAAGTCATCCTTACTGTACAGCAATGAAAACTTAGTTTCTTCCTTAGTGCTTAAGAGATTGTTAATTCAGCCTGCTGATAAAACATTGTCCAAACAGAAACAAGACTGAGGTAAGAGCACTGTTGTCAAGAGAGGTAAACAATTAGCAAGTATAGAGACAACACTTTGAGGAGCTTTGGTTTCAAAGACAAAAAGAAAGGAGGGAGTTCTGGTAAACCTGGAGTGACTGGAACAGTTTTTGTCATAACTAATTTTGATTGTCAGCTTGATAGGATTGAGAGATACATAGGAGACAAGACACACTTCTGGGTTATGCTGTGAGGGTGTTTCTGATTGTATTTTTAAATTTGTATCTTTTCTTTCCTTCCACAGTAGTTTCCTTTATAGTATTTTTTTTTTTTTTTTGCTGGTCCTGGGGTTTGAACTCAGGATCTGAGCACTGTCCCTCAGCTTCTTTTGCTCAAGGCTAGCATTCTACCACTTGAAACACAGCTCTACTTCCAGGTTTTTCTGTGTATGTGGTACTGAAGAATTGAACCCAGGGCTTCATGCATGCTAAGCAAGCAGTCTACCACTAAGCCACATTCCCAGTCTTCCATTATAGTACTATGAAAATAAATTATATACTTCTAAATAATTCGTGAGTTGAAGGAAAGACAAAATAGTTAGAAGTGGATGAGAATGTAACTTAGGAAAATTTGTGGATTATAGTGAGAGGTATTCTGAAACGGTGATTTATACCATGAAGTGTCTATTTTAGAAGAAAAGGAGTCAAGTTAATAAGATTCCCTTACCAAAAAGTAGAAAAAGAACAAGCCATTCCCTAAAAATTTAGAAAACTTCAAACAAAAAAGCAGAGGCCAATAAAATTGAAGAAGTATCAAGGAATTTATATTTAATGCTATTTGAGGTTTTCTCAATTTAAGAAACTCCTTATTCATAGGTTGTTTTACTATTTGGCTTTTGAGCTTTTTTGGTTATGGATGAATCTGACGGCGTATGCTCCAGCCTTTTTGAAGAAGCTAATCCTGCCTCTGTGTGTTTCATATATACGTGTGTGTGCATGTGCATATGTGTGTGTGTGTACATAAATAATCTTTTAGTTCTGATAGTTTTGTTGATTGTCTTGTACCAGCCTTTTTAGCCTTTTTTCTACTTGCTAGGGGAATATGAAGGATTATGTGAGAATCTGGATAAAAAATTTCTTACAACCAACGTAAAGCCCTGAAGTCTGCTTTAGTCATTTGGCTCCTATTTACCTGTTCCTCTTGTCAAGTAAAAGGCACATTTCACTTCACATTTATGTATGCAAATACACTTTTTTTTTTTTTTGGTCGGTCTTGAGGCTTGAACTCTGGGCCTGGGCACTGTCCCTCAGCTCTTTAGCTCAAGGTGAGTGCTCTTTCACTTGAGCCATAGTATCACTTCCGATTTTCTGAGTGGTTTATTGGAGATAAGAGTCTCATGGAATTTCCTGCCCAGGCTGGCTTTGAACAGTGATCCTCATATCTCAGCCTCCTGAGTAGCTAGGATTATAGGTGTAAGCCACTAACACCTGGCTTGTAAATAAAATTTTACCATTACCTGTTTTGTTCAATGAAACATTTTAAATACTGTTTCTTTACTATGCAAGGAATGTACAGTGAGGTGTTTATATTAGTCTTATTCTTTTATTCAGTATTATTTATAACTCCATTTCTACAGTCCTGTGACATAGTTACATACATATAGCATATGCATAGATGTTATTCAAGCCAACTTACTCAGGGTTCCCTTTATGTATTTTCTTCCTAACTAAAATGATTTTTATCTAAACTGATGATGTGGAAACTACTACAGTCCTTATGTTGTCTTTATAAGTTGGAGTAAATTTCTGTTAACATAGGCATTACTGTAATAGCATCATTAAGATTTCATTATAGCATTTCAGTTCAATATAATACACAGTCTCTGTCATGTTTTTATTTATTTATTTATTTTTCTTGGTTGTGGGGCTTGTACTCTGGGCCTGGGTGGTGTCCCTGAGCTCTTCAGCTCAAGGCTAGCACCCTATCAGTTGAGCTACAGCACCGCTTTTGGTTTTCTGGTGGTTAATTGGAGGTAAGAGTCTCATGTACTTTCCTGCCCAGGCTGGCTTTGAACTGTGATTCTCATATCTCAGCCTCATGAGTAGCTAGGATTACAGACATGAGCCACAGGTACCCCACACCTGCCATGTTTTTGTAAATTATTACCCGGTATGAGTCCCATTAAATACAGTTGCTGAAATGACTAATATTTAAATTCAGAGACAGTTTATATCACTATTAAATTTCATTATAAAATAAAGTATTTATGGGTGGAATTGAGGCTTGATGCTTTAGGATTTGCTAATCTTCATAAGAATGATGTTTTACTTCAGTAGCTACTTTCCATCGTGTTTGGAAATATTTTTCAGTGTCTTTTGCTTTCCCTCACATCTTATAATGAGACTTTGTCTAATTTTTTTTCTCTCAGTCTGTTTTTGCATATATTTGGATAGTGAACAAATTTGAAAGGTAGAGTTGAAGATTTGCCAATTTAGACAAAAGACTGCTTTGCTTATAGGCAGTTCATTTATAAAAAGCTTATGATTCCATCCCTATAAAATAGACCACTCTTTTTACTTGTGTCAGTTGTCTCTTCATTTTGTGTTTTGAATTAGGGCACTGATGGGAAAAGGGAAGGTATTATACCTTCTTGTGTGAATAAACTTTCAACTCCTTTTCTTTGATCAAGAGTCTCCTATCTTCTGTCAGCCTCCATGAAACAGTCCTGTTATTTGCAAGATTACAAGCAAAATAAAATCCAAGGCCCTCCATAGTTCATGACATGTTTTACATATATCAATAAAACAGCATTGGCCAAAAACTGTAATTGAATATTTCACTATATGCTTTGTTAACTTTTGATGAATGCTTGGAGAAATGGTTTGTCTGAGACCTGTTTTTTAAATTGATGTTCCCACACTCTGCTGCTCTAGTTATTCTTAAGGGAGTTCTATACAAAATGATACTTTTAAATAGTTCTTTGATTGTTAAATGTAAACTATTGTTGCTTTTGTGGGATTATGGAATGTTTAAGTTGAATTGTGACATCAAGCATATTTGATTTAATTTTTTTTCTTTTGTGTGCCAGATCTGGGTCTTGAACTCAGGGCGTGGGTGCTGTCGTGAGTTTCTTTTGCTCAAGGCTAGTGCTTTATACTTGAGCCACACCTCCACTTTCAGGTTTTTTTGAGTAGTTTATTGGAGATGGAAATCTCACAGACTTTTCTGTCCATGCTTACTTTGAATCTCAGTCCTCATAAACTACTGGTGCCTATTTTTTAATATGTTTTTTTAATTGTAAAAACACTGTGCAGAGGGGTTACAGTTACATGAGTAAGGTAATGAGTACATTTCCTATCGAGCATTGTTACCTCCTTTGTTTTTCCCGTATCATCCCTTCTCTCCCCACCTCCCCAACTCTTCCTCCCCCCAAGTTGTCTATTTTTTTTTTTAAGCAGCTAATTGTTGTTGGTTTTCTTTTCTTTTAGACTTACTCTCTGTGTACTTCAGGCTCTATCTCAAACCTTCACAAGACATTAATAGAGTTTTAGTGGCTAGAATAATTTATGCTGTCACCAAAGGATGCTGTTCACAAACTGATGGATTGAATTCCAAATTTTTAGACTTTTTTGCCAAGGCTATTCAGTATGTAAGGTAATGTAATCTGCTTCATTTTGTATTAAAAATCCACTGTTCTTCTTGTCAAGACCATGTTTTAGATTCATTAACTAAAAATGCTATCTTTTAGAAAAATTGTTGTCCTAGATTAGCTTTTTTTTTTCTTTTTTTTTTGTTGTTCATGGGGCTTGAACTCTGGGTCTAGGCACTGTCCCTGATCTCTTCAGCTCAATGCTAGTGCTTTACCACTTAAGCCATAGCATACCACTTCCAGTTTTCTGGTAGTTAATTGGAGATAAGAGTTTCATGGACTTTTCTGCCTGGGCTGGCTTTGAACTTTGATTCTCAGATTTCAGCCTCCTGAGTAGCTAGGATTACAGGCGTGAGCCACTGGTGCCTGTCAAGATTTTTTAAATCATTGTATACTAACTGTATATATTCATGAGATTCTGTGTTAATACATTTATAAAACTTAATGTCTATGCCTATACATAATTAAATCAGAGACCTGAATGTTAAGATTTGAAGCCATAAAGCTAAGAGATAATAACAGGAACCCTTTAAGAAATTGATATAAGCAATAATTTTTTGGATAAAATCCCCAAAGCACCAACAGTAAAACAAAAGTAGGTTAGTGTGATTTTATAAACTAAGAAGCTAATGTACAGTGTAGAAGAATGAAGAGAGAAACTAGAATGGAAAAAAAATGCCAAGTCTTTGTCTGGCAAAGGATTAATATCCAGGATATACAAAGAAGTTAAAAGACAAATCTTAAAGTTTTTTAATAAGCCAATTTTTAAAAAGTGAATAAAGAATTACATGGTGGAATATGCCTATTATCCCAGCACCTGGAGTCTGAGGCAGGAAGATTACAGGCTTGAGGCCATCCTTGGCTAAATTGTGAGACCCTGTCTCAAAAAATAACCAAACAGCCAAACAAAATGGGTACAGGATGTGAATCAGCTACTTTTCAAAAGAAGAAGTTCAAATGGTCAAATTTATTTTTAAAAACACTCATTAGCTATCTAGGAAATGCAAGTCAAATCACAGTAAGCTATTTCACCCCCATAGAAAGACTGTCATTAAAAATACAAAGCCTAATATTAGCAGGCAAGGATTTTGAGAAAAGGAAATTCCCATAAAGTGTTATAGGAATGTAAAATAGGAGCATTGAGCCATCATATTAGAATCAGTGGATTTCCAATGAGCCAGTTAAACTTAACTCTCTTCAATTCAATCCAATATACAGAATAGTAAATGATATTAAGTAGGAAATTTGTCCTGCTCTTTCAGTTACAAAGTTTAATATTCTCCTAAGTTATTTCATCTTCATCTTGAGGATAACATAGTATGCCTTGGGAGCTTGATGTCATACATTTGTGTGGCATTATTCCATTTATAAATTATTTTTTAAATGGCAGGATTTACAAATCAATTTTATATATTTTTAGACAATGTTTTAGCAATAGGCAGAATTAGCAGTAGTCTCTTAAGCACCAATTAAAAACTGTTTGTTGTTGTATTGTGTTGCTGTGATTTTTTTTTTCTCAGAATGATTTTGAATCTGAGACTATTGAAAAATTAGATTGTTTTCATATAGTATATTCCTATTATACCAACTTGAATTTGTTTTCTGTCACAGACAAGAAAAGAGCTCTGTAGGCTTAAATCACATCTTAGCAGCTTTTATTATCTTCCTCAAAACATTGGCTGTCAATTTTCGGATTCGAGTATGCGAATTAGGAGATGAAATTCTTCCTACCTTACTGTATATTTGGGCTCAACATCGACTTAACGATTCCTTAAAAGAAGTACTTATTGAATTATTTCAGCTTCAGATTTATATCCACCATCCAAAAGGAGCCAAAACCCATGACAAAGGTATAAAGGAAACTTACTGTTTTGGATTTGCTGCTTCATTGAAATATAGAGGTTTAAATATGACAGGATATGACCTTTGGATTACTTTGCTTAATAATGTTATTAGTTGTCAGGATTTTTTAATGCAATTTTGGAATTTGAGCCAATTATATCATGTCTTTTCTTTTGTCTAGTGCCAAGTATTGTGAGAAATATAAATATCCAGTGTTGCCAGGTCCCAGTAAGAGGTTATTAATTGTGGGGCTTGAACTCAGGGCCTGGGTGTTGTCCTTGAGCCTCTTTGTGCTCAAGGCTAGCACTCTAACACTTGAGCCACAGCACTACTTCTGGTCTTTAATTGGAGATAGTCTTTTTTGCACAAGCTGGCTACAAATCACAATCCTTAGATGTCAGCCTCCTGAGTAAGATTACAGGTGTGAGCCAGTGTGGCCTGACATGTTGAGACTTTTGAGTCAGCATTTTAAAAGTGACATAAGATGACTAGAGTCTGTTCTGGAAAAGATATTGGGTTGGTGAAAATAGTCACAATAAGTGAATAGATTGTGCACATACTGGTTGAATGAAGTGGCGTTTTTCCCTCTTTAACGAAAAAATCATATATGGAGGAGTTGTTCCTCCTGTAAAAGAAATAACATACTAATTGTATATTCCTTAAAGAAAAAATTAGAAAAGGGCTTATATAAGTTGGAATACATAAGGTTTTTATACCAATGATAATTACTGTGAGATGGAAACCCTTTGAATGTTGTCAGAAGAGGCATTAATACTGAAAATATCAGTAATGTTGATGGCCTACACAGCTGGGTAATTTTATGGGAGTTGACAGTGCAAAGTTTGTAAATTATATTTTAATTTTTTTGGATTACAGGTGCTTATGAATCAACAAAATGGCAAAGTATCTTATACAACTTATATGATTTACTAGTGAACGAGATAAGTCATATAGGAAGCAGAGGAAAATACTCTTCAGGTTCTCGTAATATTGCTGTCAAGGAAAATTTAATTGAATTGATGGCAGATATTTGTCACCAGGTATAATAGCTGTTGCTACCTCTTGGAGTTTCCTGTTAATTTTCCTTCTGTACTTTTTAGATGTATGCTATCAGTAATATATAAAATTACATGTAACTTTTCCTTTCAAAATATACATATGTGAGCTTAGCACTGGTGGCTTAGTCCTGTAATACTAGCTACTCAGGAGGTTGAGATCTGAAGATGGCAATTCAAAGCCAGCCCAGGCAAGAAAGTCCATGAGACTCTTATCTCTAGTTTACCACCAAAAGGTGAAGATGGAGCTGTGCCTCAAGTGGTAGAGCATTTATGTTGAGCACAAAATTTTAGGGCCAGTGCTAAGGCCTGAGTTCAAACTCCAGGACCAACACACAAAAACAAAAACACCCCCACCTCCAATATTTGGAAATACTCTTTTTATTTAAAACTTTCTTTTTCTTGCCAGATATGGGGCTTGAACTTGGGGCCTGGGTGCTGTCCTGAATGCTTTTGCTCAAGGCTAGAGCTCTGCCACTTTGAGCCACAGCTCCACTTCTGGTTTTCTGGTGGTTAATTGGAGATAAGAGTCTCATGGACTTTCCAGCCTGGGCTGGATTTGAACAGGATCCTCAGACCTCAGCCTCTTGAGTAGGTAGGATTACAGAGATGAACTACCACAGCACCCAGCTTAAAAATACAACTTTTGCACGTAAGTGCTTAATGAAAATTCATAATGAACTTTAACATTCTTAAAATACTGTTGATAAAAAATAAGAAGACCCTAACTAATGTATTTTTTTAAACTTGAATAGTACATTTATGTAGCTTGAAAACTTACAAATTAATAATTATAACAGCGATTTTAAAGAATGTTTTACTTTGTTTAAAATCATCACTGCTGCCTACTATAGAATATTTCTGTCACCAAAAGAAATGTCAGAGCTGTAGCATTCAGTCCTAATTCTCTCTTCTATTAGCCATTGGCAGCCAGTCACTGATGTACTTCTTTTTTTTCTGGGGGGGGGGGGGTCTGGTTGTAGGGCCTGAACTCTGGGCCTGGGTGCTGTCCCTCAGCTCTTCAGCTCAAGGCTAGCACTCTACCACTTGAGCCACAGCGCCACTTCCGGCTTTTTTTCTTTTTTCTTCTGTGGTGCTGAGGAATCGAACCCAGGGCCTCATGCATGCAAGGCAAGCGCTCTACCATTAGCCATCTTCCCAGCCCACTGATGTACTTCTAATCATTGTGGATTTGCCTGTCTTGTTTACTTCAGATAAAATGTTTGTTTTTTCCTGTTTGGCTTCCTTCATTCAGCATAATGTTCTATCATGAATCAGCCAGTACCCAAACTTCTTATATTGAACATTTGATTATATGGATAAACTACATTTTACTTAAATACTCATCAGATGGCCTAATCATTATGTAAAATCTTTTTTGTGAGGTTAGAAAGGTGGCTCAGTGGTAGTGATTGCCTTGCATGCATGAGGCCCTGGGTTTAATTCCTTAGCACCACATAAGCAGAAAAAGCTGGAAGTGGTGCTGTGACTCAAGTGGTAGGATGCTAGCCTTGAGCTGAAGAGCTGAGGAGTGCCCAGGCCCAGATCTCAGGTCTTATGATAAAAACAACAAAAAACAAAACAAAACACTTTTTTGTGGTATTAGAATTTTAATTCCAGGTCTTGTGTTTGCTGGGGCTGGCACTCTACCACTTGAACCATGGCTTCAGTCCTGCTTTTTACCAGCAAACAACAGGAGATAAGATATAGTAAACTTTTCTGGCTAGCCTTAAACCAAATCTCAGCCTCCTGAGTGGCTAGGAATTGTAGGAGTAAGACATCAGTTAAGTAAAACTTTTTCTTAATATCCTAGGTGGAAATTTCACACATATATATTAGTAGTAATTTAAATTTAATCCCTTTGACAGTATAGGGTTTTATTTTGTTGTTTTTGGGGGATCCAGTCATGGGCCTGAACTCTGTGCCTGGCCTTCTGGCTTTTTTTTCTGCTTATGTGGTGCTGAGGAATCAAACCCAGGGCCTCACGCATGCAAGGCAAGTGCTCTACCACTGAGCCACCTTCCCAGCCCCGACAATATAGGTTTTTGCTTTTAGATTTCTTGGTGTGTTTCAGTAAATCTCTTCAGGAAATAAAATATTTACTTCCTAAGAATGTCATTTCTATCATTTAACATGTTTTTTACATATATATATATATATATACACACATTTCTATAACTTAATGCGCTTGCATTGTGCATTTCTTATATCTTCATTTGATAAGGAATTTTTTCCATGGAATGATTAGAAAATGGTAGCAGTTGAAGTCAAAAATACAAGCTTATTTTCATTTTTAGGTTTTTAATGAAGATACCAGATCCCTGGAGATTTCTCAGTCTTATGCTGCTACACAAAGACAATCTATCGATTGCAGTATACCTTGCAAAAGAAGGAAAATAGAACTGGGTTGGGGAGTAATAAAAGATTATCTTCAGAAGTCACAAAATGATTTTGATATTGTGCCTTGGTAAGATGTTATATGTTTCCTCATTTATTGACATTTTAGTCATATTTTTCTCAGAAAACATCTAGACTAAATATTTTGACCGTATTAACTAGACTTTACCTTCTCCATTCAACCAATCTAGTGTCCAGACCCTGGATAGGTCGTTTTACACTCCTGTTATATGTTTTTTAGTATATGCTAATTGTTCAAAGAGGTTTCATTAAGGCATTTCACACATGCATATTCAGTACTTTGATTTGACCCTTCCCCTCCCCTCTTCCTCTGCTTACACTCACTTTCCCTTTCCTTTCAGTGAGATTTTGTTTTGCCATCTTCATGCACAGATTTTGGTATTCTTCCCTAGACCCCTCCCCACTTATCCCAATACTGGTTGAACTCAGCCACCTGCTTCTGAAACAGGTAGATACTCTACCAGTTGAATACATCTAGCTCTAATAATTATTTTGAAGACAGTACCAGGAAAACTAGGAAGGTGATATTTTAATTAAGATAGTATAAAGGTGTCATGTTTCTATATTTGCATTTTTAGCTTGTTTGTGGAATTTTATATTTTTCCATATTCATTTTTTTCCCTCTTTTAGGCTACAGATTACAACTCAGCTAATATCAAAGTATCCTGCCAGTTTACCTAACTGTGAGCTCTCTCCATTGCTGTTGATCTTGTACCAGCTTCTGCCTCAACAGCGACATGGGGAGCGAACACCATATGTGTTACGATGTCTTACCCAAGTTGCATTGTGTCAAGGAAAGAAATCAAATCTAGAAAGCTCTCAAAAGTCAGAATTATTGAAACTCTGGATTAAAATTTGGTGTATTACCTTTCGTGGCATAAGTTCTGAACAAATACAAACTGAAAACTTTGGCTTACTTAGAGCTATTATTCAAGGAAGTTTAATTGAAGTTGACAGAGAATTCTGGAAGCTATTTACTGGCTCAGCCTGCAAACCTTCAAGGTAGGTTGTATATCCATTGTATCAGAATTTACGGATATATACATAGATTTTGATCATTTTCATAATTCAGTTGAGCATATTAATTATATTTTAAATGCACATTTGTCCAGGAGGACTTATATGCAATAAATACATAAATGTGAATTTAATTTTTCAGAAGTAAAATTTTACTAAGGCCGTTTTTTAAAAACTTTATTGTTTTCTTTTTGCCATTCCTGGGGCTTGAACTCAGGGCCTGGGTATTGTCTATGAGCCTCTCTTTGCTCAAGGCTAACACTCTACCACTTGAGCCTCAGCACCACATCCAGCTCTTTCTGTTTATGTGGTACTGAGAAATTGAACCCAGGGCTTCATGCATGGTAGGCAAGCACCCTACCACTAAGCCATACTCCCAGCCCTGTTTATTGTTATTACAAAGGTGATTACCGAGGGGTTACAGTTGCATAAATCAGGTAGAGTACATTTATTTTTGGATAATATCACCTCTTCTCTCACTTCTAATTTTTCTCTCCCATCCTCATCAACAACTTGTATAGTTCATATTCAACATAGTGTCTAGTGAGTGTCACAGGTGCATTTGTTTACTCTTTTGTCACTCTATTTCTGTGCCTCCTTTTACACAGCCAAAGCAAGACAAAATGAAAAAACAAAAACAGCAACAAAAAACTCTTGTTTCTGTTTCCTGGAGTTCATTTCAATAAATATTATATGAGGTGCACATAGGCATTGCACCTTTGTGTTCCTGTTCTACAAGTAGGCTGATTGATTTAAGAGATTAATTTCTTTTTTTTGGGGGGGGGTCCGGTCATGGGGCCTGAAGTCTGGGCCTGGGCACTGTCCCTTGGCTCTTCAGCTCAAGGCTAGCACTCTACCACTTGAGCCACAGCACCACTTCCGGCTTTTTTCTTTTTGCTTATGTGGTGCTGAGGAATCAAACCCACGGCCTCATGCATGCAAGGCAAATGCTCGACCACTGAGCCAACTTCCCAGCCCCTAAAAGATTAATTTCTTATCTGTACAATAACAATGTAAATTAAATGTATTTATAAACTTTATAGACTGAATGCTATTATTATGACCCTTCCCTCATGCCTCCACCACTGGTGAAATCAGTAATTTTATTCTATTTTATTTAAAAAAAAATTTTTTTGTCCGTTACCAGGTTTGAACTCAGTATCAGTGTGCTGTCCCTGAGCTCTTCTGCTCAAGGCTAGTGCTCTACTACTTTCCGCCATAGCTCCACTTCTGGTTTTCTAGTAGTTAACTAAAGGTAAGAGTCTCATGGGGACTTTTTTGCCCAGGATGGCTTCAAATCATAGTCCTCAGATCTCAGTATCCTGAGCAGCTAAGATTTCAGGCATGAGCCACCAGCACCCATCTTGATTTTATTTTTAAAATGTAAAGGTGATGTATAGCTGGGAGCTGGTGGCTCACGCCTATAATCTTAGCTACTCAGGAGGCTGAGGTCTGAGGATCGGGATTCAAAGCCAGCCTGGACTAGAAAGTCCATAGACTTCTCCAGTTAACTACCAGAAAATCGGAAGTGGGGATGTGGCTCAAGTAGTAGAGCACTTGCCTTGAGTTGAAGAACTCAGGGACAATGCTCAGGCCAAGTTCAAGACCCACAACTAAAAAATAAAATAAAGATGATGTACAGAAGGGCTACAGTTATATCAGTTGAGTAATGAATATATTTCTTTTTTGGACAGTGTCCCCTTACATATTATTATTATAAGATTTTCTTTCCCAATATTGGGGTTTGAACCAGGCACCTGTGGTTCATGCATGTAATCCTTGCTACTTAGGAGTCTGAGATCGGAGGATTGAAGTTCAAACCCAGCCCGGGCAGAAAAGTCTGTGAGACTCTTATTTCCATTTAATCACCAGAAAACCGGAAGCGGCACTGGGGCTCAAGTGGTAGAGTGCTTTCCTTGAGCTGAAGAGCTCAGAGACAGTGCCCAAGCCCCGAATTCAAGACCCATGATTGACAACCTCCCCAAAAAAATATTGGGGTTTGAACAAAGAACCTTGTGCTTGCTGTCAGGCTTTCCACCCTTGAGCCATGCCCCTAGTCCTACAAGAGAATTTATTTTTGCCAGTCCTGAGACTTGAGGGCCTGGGCCCTCTCCCTAGGGCTCTTTGTGCTCAGGTCTACTGCTCTACTACTTGAGCCACAGCACTACTGGCTTTTTCAGAGAAATTTATTGGAGGTAGGAGTCTTGGGGACTTTTCTGCTTCAAACCTCAGTCCTCAAATATCAGCCTCCTGAGTAGCTAGGATTATAGGCATGAGCCACTGGAGCCTAACTCCTACAAGAGAACTTTTAACCAAGAATCTTCTCCAGTGTAAACAGTTCGTTTTTTTTTTAACTAGACTCTTTTACAGGTTTGTTAACTAGATGTTTGTGTGTACTATTGCCATAAGCATTGCAGGCAAAGGGATAAGCTTGTCCACATCTCAGAGAACTTGCCTTAATCAATGTCTTTGTTTCTTCATAGTCCTGCAGTGTGCTGTTTGACCTTGGCACTGGCTGTCTGTGTGGTTCCGGAAACAGCAAAAATAGGAACAGAGCAGAATGTATATGAAGTGAATAGGAACTTTTCTTTAAAGGAATCAATTATGAGATGGCTTTTATTCTATCAGTTAGAGGATGACATAGAATACAGCACAGTGCTGCCTCCAATTCTTCAGAGGTAATTTCACTTTATCCATTGTATTGAAGAGGTTTTTTTTTTGTTAGTTTCATTTTGTAAGATTTCCTCTACTTACTGGAAACTAGTAGAATTTATAATGATACTACCAAATTTTCCAGGATGAGCCCTAATGAAGTAAATATTCTTGTTTTATTGTATAGGTATAGGTATACATGGATATTAAGGGATTCTTTTTTTTTTTTTTTTTTGGTCGGTCGTGGGGCTTGAACTCTGGGCCTGGGCGCTGTCCCTCAATTCTTCAGCTCAAGGCGAGCGTTCTACCACTTGAGCTACAGCGCCACTTCTGGTTTTCTGGTGGTTTATTGGAGATAGGAGTCTCACGGTCTCTCCTGCCCGGGCTGGCTTTGAACTGCGATCCTCAGATCTCAGCCTCCTGAGTAGCTAGGATTACAGTGAGCCACCAGCGCCTGGCCTTAAGGGATTCTTTTTAATGCCTTAGAGTCTTTTAAGTGAAGCTTTTATTTTTCTTTATAGTAAGCTTCCTCATCTCATGCTGGAGAAAATTCTTGTGAGTCTCACCATGAAAAACTGTAAAGCTGCAATGAACTTTTTCCAAAGTGTGCCAGAATGGTATGTTATCTAATAGCGTTCTGTAATATTTTAAGATACAGCTTTAGTTGCAGAATAATTTGGTCTTAATTAAGAGCTAATTTGGAGAGAATGAGGGAGGGGGTGACACTGTTCAAAAGGAAATGTACTCATTACCTGACTTACATAACTGTGACCCCTCTGTACATCACCCTTACAATAATTTTTTAATTGTGTGTGGGGGGGGGGAGCTGGGAATGTGGCTCAGTGGTAGAGTGCTTGCCTAGCATGCATGAAGCCCCAAGTTCTATTCCTCAGTACCACATACACAGAAAAAGCCAGAAGTGGTGCTGTGGCTCTAGTGACAGAGTGCTAGCCTTGTGTAAAAGAAGCTCAGGGACAGTCAGGGACAGTGCTCAGGCCCAATTCCTGGCCAAAAAAAAAAAAAAAGAACTAATTTGGCTAAGTAAAAACATCATCAAGTGTAAGGCTTCTTGTAAATAAGGATGCATGTAAATAAGCAATTATAATCGGTGTCCTATAACTTTAGATAGAAGCTATTACTTTTTTAATGGTATGTAATGTAATATGCCAAATGTCAGTACAAACAATTTGATTCTTATGGGAACTTAGGAATGTTACCCTTATGTGAAATGATTTAGGAGTGGTCCATTTTTATGCATGAGGTAAAATTTTTTAGTTTTAAAAAATAATAGTGGGGGGGATGGAGGAGGGGAAGGAGAAATGGGAAGGGATGGTAAGGGGAAACAAAGGAGGAGGCAACAATGCTTGATAAGAAATGTACTCATTACCTTGCCCATGTAATTGTAACTCCTCTGTACGGTATTTTCTCAAAGAAAGAAAGAAAAACAAAGAAAGAAAGAAAGAAAATTGACAAAAAAAATAAAAGCCATTGAATTAAAAAAAAATAATGATAGTTGTTCATAGTGACACATGCCTTGAGAGGCCTAGAGACAGGAGGATGATTTATTTCAGGAGTTTGAGATTAACTTAGACAAATGTAATGACCCTCTGTCTCAAAGTAAAACCATCTGTGAACATCCAGGTATGGTGGCACATACCTATAATCCCAGATACTTGGGATGTGGAGATTGTGGTCAGAGGCTAGCCTTGGCAAAAAAATTAGTGAAACTCCAGCTCAAGAATCCAGGTTTGGTGGTTTACACTTACATAATTTCAGCTAGGAGTATATGCAGGAAGATTGTGGTTCACGGACAGCCCTGGATCAAAAGTAATAAGTAAAGCAAAAATGGGTTGGGAGTGTGACTCAAATGGTAGAGCACCTGCCTAGTAATCAAGAGGTCCTAAGTTCAAAGCTAAGCGCTGTAAGGGGAAAAAAATGTAAAACTTTAGTTCTAGTTGATTGACTTAGAGACTTATGTCTGTCACTGTGTTGAAGATACCTCAGGAACACAGATTCTTAATCTGTACCACAGGGTCAAAAAATGAAAGAAAAATAAATTTTGGAAAAATTGCAGATGAAAAAATTGTTTTCAGGTAGTTATTTTCAGGATTTATATCTAGTGTTACTGTGTTTTTTTAAAATACATTCCTGATTTTGCCTTTGAAATTCTGTGTTTTGTCTGTTAGTAACTTGCTACTGAATAGTGAAATTTTATAAAAGTATGTATAGATTCCTAGAGAAACAGAATAATCCATTTCTTATGTAAACAGACTTTGAATGAAGAAAATGCTTGATGTTTTTATGCAATGTGTTTCTATTATGGGGAGGTATGTAATATGTCCCTTTCTTGAAGTGAAAATCACCACAAAGTTAATGAAGAGCCTTCATTCTCAGAAGTAGAAGAACTATTTCTTCAGACAACTTTTGACAAAATGGATTTTCTAACCATTGTGAAAGAATGTGCTGTAGAGAAGTATCAATCTAGTATTGGCCTTTCTGTCCATTCAAATCTCAAGGAATCATTGGATAACTGTCTTCTGAAATTATCAGAACAGCTTCTCAATAATTACTCATCTGAGGTGAGATTTGTTTTATAAAGTAAAGCTTGTATATTTGATTCAACTTCAATTTGTGAGGTAGGAGAAATGGGGACATGAATGGCACCCAAAAGTAGTGATAGTCTTGGTTTTAAAAGCAGATTGCCAAGCATGTCAAAAAATTAGGGAAAGCAGCATGGACAAGGAAAAACTGAAGACTGATTTTGAGTATGTCAGTTGTTCAGGAATCTTGATAGACATCAAAAAATTCTTTGAGTAGGGTAATAGAGAATAGTAAAGTTTGAAGCATAAATGAGTTACATGATGAAATGAACTTCTCAGTACAAAAGCAGAAGATACCATAATAAGAGGAAGCAAACAGTTTAAACCATCTGGTAGATTTTGGTGGCATTTGAAATGAAAGGGAATAATTTAAAAGGTCAGAGTGGCTGAATTAATATCCATTCCAAGCAATAGTATACAAGGGGTAAGGATTCCTCCTCACACTAGATCCTTACCACCATTTGTTATGTTGTTGTTGCTTTTGTAATACTGTGGTTGAACTAAGGGTCTCACTTTTGCTAAGCAGATACTCATCTCTTGAACCACTCCTAGTCCCTTTATACATTATTTTAAAAATAAGGTCTCACTTGATGTCTGTGTCAACTTGCACTGTGATCCTCCTATTTGTGCATCCCTTTGTTGACAGGTATATGCCACTGTACTTTGCCCATAAGTAGGGATGACAAGTGTTTGCTACCATTCCTAGCCACTGAGATTGAAATTGAGTTTCTTGAACTTTTATACCTGGAATGGCCTCCCCGAGTAGATAGGATTGCAGGATTGAGCCTGTAATCTTAAATTGCTTGATGATAGTAGTTCATACTAATGAGAGATTGAATCTCAGTGATATTTTATTTCTGTTTCCTTTATGGCTGAGAATTATAAAGACTTGTTCATGTGTTTATTGGCCATTTGCACTTCTTTTGGAAACGTTTTATTTACCAATTACTGATTGGGTTATTTAGATATTGCAGTTTAATCTGTTAGCTCTTTATATTCTCTTTATATTCTCTGTGTGTATGTGTGTATGTGCGTGCATGTGCATGTGCATGTGCATGCATATCTTGTTTAATAAAAAGCTGAGACTATTTTGTTCCATATTGTTGCTTATTTTTGTTTCGTTTTTTTTTTGCCAGTCTTGGGGCTTGTACTCAGTGTCTGGGCACTGTTCCCAAACTTCTTTTGCACAAGGCTGGAACTATAGCACTTGAGCCACTGCACTACTTTCTGGCTTTTTGTGCTTATGTGGAACTGAGGAGTCAAACCCAGGGCTTCATGCATGCCAGGCAAGCACTCTACCACTAAACCACATTCCCAGCCCCTGTTGCTTGTATCTTTACTCTTATAACTAACTGCTTGCTTTGAAGTGCAGAGCTGAAGCAATCCTATTTGTTAATTCTTACTCTTATTAAGAGTCTTACTCAGGGCTGGGAAGGTGGCTAAGTAGTAGAGCACTTGCCTTGCATGCATGAGGCCCTGGGTTCGATTCCTTAGCACCACATAAGCAAAAAAGAAAAAAGCCAGAAGTGGTGCTGTGGCTCAGGTGGTAGAGCGCTAGCCTTGAGCTGAAGAGCTGAGGGACAGAACCCAGGCCCAGAGTTCAGGCCCCATTACTGGACCCCCAAGACAAAAAACAAAAACCAAAAAGAGTCTTACTCAGAAAGTTGTTTCATATACTTTGAAGTTTTCCCTATATCATCTTGTACTAGTTTCAAGTCTTACATTAATACCTTTGATTCATTTACAATTGAATTTTGCCTTGATTTGTGGATATCCAGGTTTCCTAGTACCATTTTTCAGAAAAATCAGTCTATTTTCCAATGTATTTGAGCACTTTTATCAAGCTGCTTGGCTCTGGCTGCTTAGCTGTAACTGCTTGAGTTGATTTCTGCGTTCTCCATTCCCTTAGTCTGTGTTTCTAATTTTGTGCCAGTATAATGCTATTTTGGTTACTGTGACTCAGTGGTGTAATTTGAATACCCCCAATTTTGCACAGAATTACTTTTCTATTCAGAGTCTGTTTTTCCATATGAATTGCCATATAAATTCTTGAATGGATTTTCTATGTCTGTGAAGAATGTCATTGGGATTTTGATAAGGATTGAATTGCATCTGCAGTTCACCTTCGATAACTTAGTATTTCCACAGTATTTTGCCAATCCATGAATGTGGGAGACCTTTCTATCATTTAGTGGCTTCTTCAATTTATTTTTTTCTTATAGTTTTTATTGTCTTACCCTTTGTTAATTTAACTTATTCGTGTGTGTGTGTGTGTGTGTGTGTGTGTGTGTGTGTGCGTGTGTGCTAGGGGTGGGGGCTGTTCCCAGGCCTTTGTTAATTTAACTTATTCCTAGGGTGTGTGTGTGTGTGTGTGTGTGTGTGTGTGTGTGTACACTAGGGGTGTGTGTGTGTGTGTGTGTGTACTAGGGGTGGGGGCTGTTCCCAGGCTGTCTGATTTAGGATTGTTCCTTGTTTTCAGTTGTCATTAAAGCAAGCTTAGGTCTCCTTTCTAGATGGCACCAGCTTTATAGTTCACTGGGAAATGGGGAGCAGCAAAACTAGTTTCTTCCCCAGTGCTGCCTATCACATAAGAGTCATTGTCATACTAAGTCCCCTCACCAAATTCAAGAACTGTGTTTTTTCCTGTGCCTAGAACAGCCGGTCTCTCACTTGGGTCAGCTGGCTTACATAATGGTTATGATTTGGTTTTCTACTTCACTATTTCTCCATGGCTTGCAGTTTTACTGTGAGCTCTTTTGTGATTTCTAATACTGTCTTTGGAATAAAGTCACATGGAGAAAAGTTTCTTTCCTCTATCTTACCTGGAATCCACATGTTAAAATTCTTACTACACAATCCTCTTATATAATCTCACTCATAACAATTTTTAGCTTTTAAGTTCCATAGTATTTAATATTTCAAATTTTAATGCCACTCAGTATGTTTCTTACTTTTACCATGGATATTTAAGGATTTCTTATATATTTATTTTTGTGCTGGTCCTGGGGTCTGGGTACTGTCCCATTAGCTTTTTTCACTGGAGCCCACAGCTCCACTTCTGGCTTTTGAATGGGTAAATTGGAGATAAAAGTTTCACAGATTTTTCCTGCCTTGGAGTGGCTTTGAAACATGATCTTCTCCAGCCTCCTGAGCTACTAGGATTACAAACCTGAGCTACTAATGCCCAGCCTTAATGATTTTTAAATATACAAATATCTCTTAAAGTTGGCCATAATTCTCTTAAAAGGCTAATACGTATATATACATACACATATATAGATATACACACATACATATATACATATGCATATATGTATATATATATATATTTTTTATTAACCAGTTTTTATTTCCTTCCCGATGCCTTGTTAGATAGTTAATGTTGAATAAATAATCCTGTAAACTAATCACAGGAGTGAATTCAGTAGCCAAAGAAAATGAACCAAGCAACCATTAAGGGGCAGTGTGTTTTGTCCTGTTTTGTCCATCATAGCTTAATTACTAACATTTTCTGTCATATTTACTTTTATTCAAAATTTAGTTTTTTTAATTTTACCTTAGAATGCTATTTTGTATTATACCAAAACAAATAAAAAACAAAATTTTTTTTCTCTGTGTAATCCTTACAGATTCTTTAATAGTCTACATAATTGTTTTAAGAGTACTGACTAGCAAAAAATGCTTTCTTGGAAGTGGTGCTGTGACTCAAGTGGTAGAGTGCTAGCCTTGAGCTGAAGAGCTGAGGGACAGTGCCCAGGCCCAGAGTTCAAACCACACGACAAAAAAAAAAAGTGCTTTTTACTCATATTTGGAGTCTAAAATGATGAGTAAGTCACGGTTCTTTTCCTTCATAAGTTCAAAATGTCCCTGTAGTGTTTATATGAATTGAATTTCTACTCCTGTTCTAAGATTTACAGACATTCATTTACCTGTCAACGTTTTCTTTGATCCTTATATACTTAAATTCTTGTGCTACTTGGCTATTAGAATATACTTTTGCCAATTTTCATGGGAATACTGCTTATCATAACTCTATAGTGATCTCTTTGGTGATTCCCCCTCCCATACTTTAAGTTGCTTTTTTAAATTGGAGATGCATCTTTGATATGATGTATTGAGAGGGACATAGTATCTCTCTAAAATACCTAACTTCCATTATGAGAAATAGACAATTATGAGAAAATAGACAAGTTTCAAAGGAGAGATATACTGCAGTATATCTGAGCAATGCTGTTTAGAAGGGTAAAGATCATGAGAGACAGAAACTGAGATGCTGTGCCAGGCTTAACAGATTGGAAGGCATAAAGCCTGACAACTAGACACACTGGTACCCTAGAAAGAAAAGTAATATAACTAGTTAACTATTCATCTAGACATACCTTAGTATGGCATAGCTGTTATATTTCTGGTTTTAATAATTGAACTATAGAAATTTAGAATGTTGATCTTATAGGAATCTTGGTAGACTCTATATGGAAACTCTGCATTTTATTTTGGTAACCTGTCTTCAAGTCTAATGACATTTTAGTAAAAAAGTCACTCACTAATCTTAGGTTCAGGAAGATTGGTAAAACATATGATTCATTTCATTAATATTGTTAAGACAAAGTCTTTGGTGTTCTTCCACCTTTAACTTAGTTGATTAAACTTTTGTTTCTTAATATGTACATGAATTTATTATAAAAGATAATTTTAGAATACTCAGAATTGCTTATAAAATGAATTTTTTATTTGTGGTTTAAGGTCACAAATTCAGAAACACTTGTACGATGCTCAGGCCTTTTGGTGGGTGTTCTTGGCTGCTATTGTTATGCAGGTGTAATAACTGAAGTGGAAGCATGCACATCAGAATTATTCCAGAAGGCCAAGGTAGGACAATTTATGCTAGTATTATTTTAGACAAATTTGGATGAAATAATATTCCTGGGAATATTGTTACATAAAACAGAATGTTACTAATTGAAAAAACAAAATTGAAAATTCAAAACCTAGAAACTTCTTGAATGCCAGTAGTGATGCCACATCTGACCTCAAGTGATAGGGTGGGCATAGTATAGGAATACAACACAACACACATGAAACACTTTTCTATAGATTACCTTTTTTTTTTTTTTTGGGTCCAGTCATGGGGCCTGAGCTCTGGGCCTGGGCACTGTCCCTCAGCTCTTTAGCTCAAGGCTAGCGCTCTACCACTTGAGCCACAGCGCCACTTCCGGCCTTTTTTTTTCCTGCTTATGTGGTGCTGAGGAATCGAACCCAGGGCCTCATGCATGCAAGGCAAGTGCTCTACCACTGAGCCACCTTCCCAGCTCTATAGATTACTTTTAAGCCATGTATATAAGGTATATATGAAACAACTGAATTTTGTATTTAGAGTTAGATCCCTTATTTCTGTGTCTAAAGTGGTTCATCCTAATGAATCCTGGATGTATTAATCAAGTAGGCTTTCAGCTTAAAACCTTTTTATTGCTTTATACTCTGCAAAGTGAAGTAGGTATAATTTTTGTATTTTGGGTGTTTTGGGGTTTTTTTGGACAGTGTCTAGCTATATAGGAGCTTCGAACTTGAGATCTTTCTGCCTTGTCTTCCCGTTCAGTATTTACACCATGCCTCACTCAGATTTGTTCATAATTTGTAATTTTATTGTATGACAACATCTAGAAACACTTTTGGCTTTAAAGTGAATCTTTATTTGGAATTTGTATTTCTTTTTTTCTGAATAGTCTCTAATGCAGTGTTCAGGAGAATGTATCTCCCTGTTTAAAAATAAGACAAATGAGGAATCTAGAATTGGTTCACTGAGAAATATGATGCAGCTATGTACAAGTTGCATGTATAACTATAACAAGGTAAGGTGTCTTCTCATTTGATAGTCCAGTCTCTTTATAGAGTAGATTATGTGGTGGTGGTGATGTTGATTGATTGATTGATTGAAAAACTGATTTAAAGTTAAATTGAGTGAAAAAGAATAGTAATCTGTTTCTTATGAAACTAATTTCATCATTTTATTATCTTCCCACTTTCTAATGCAGCTATATACTTTTTCCTAATGTTTACACATTTAATAAGTTGTTACCTAGTTTACGATGTACATACCATTGTACCAGGGCTAGTGAACACTAGTTTCTTTTGCTTAAATCATCTTATGTAACATGTGATAGAATGAGTGGTGCTGTCTATAATCTTTGATTTGATTTGGACAGGCTTGTGTTGTAGTTGAGGCAGGCTGTATATTGATAATAATCACAGAGCTCTTTGAATACTGATATTAAGTATGTAAACATAACTATTAAGTACATAAACAAATCAGTATTTTTGGCATCTATTTTGGGTTTTGTGATGTGTTTTCCTTTGTTTTGATATAAATGGGGAAAATAGTAAACTAATATACAACTGCTGTTTAATATATTTAGGACTAGTAGGTAATATTTTAATATTGCTTTAGATAGTATTTTAATATTGCTTAAGCAAAACAAAAGACATGTGTGATATCAGTACTCTAATAGATTATTATGCTTGAAATAACTTATATTTTGTTCCTAATAGTGAACACTATCATTTTATATACAGAAAATACTATCATCCCTAAGAATACTTGTTTATTTTTATTGTTTATTGCTTATCTTTTTGTCTTTATTACAGCAAAATGCAAATAAGATTGCATCTGGCTTTTTCCTACGATTATTTACATCAAAGCTGATGAATGACATTGCAGATATTTGTAAAAGTTTAGTAAGTATGCTTCCTGTGTTGTTATATTTCATTCATTCTAAACACTTTTTTGTTGAAGCATCTGTTAATGTAGAGATGAATCTTAGATTGTATGGCATCTTATTTTTTATAAATGTAGAAGTTTAAAATTAATTTTAGGAATATAACATAAATATATAAATAAAAATCAAATATATTTGATTTCTTCTTTTTTGGGGGGGTGGTCTGGTCGTGGGGTCTGAACTCTGGGCCTGGACACTGTCCCTCAGCTCAAGGCTAGTGCTCTACCACTTGAGCCACAGTGCCACTTCCGGCTTTTTTCTGCTTATGTGGTGCTGAGGAATCAAACCCAGGGCCTTATGCATGCGAGGCAAGCACTCTACCACTGATCCAACTCCCCAGCCCTTTGATTTCTTCTTAAAATGAGCAGCTTAGTACCTAGGAATTAAAGTCTTTTTCTTTTTTTCCGTTTCACTCTTAAGACCTTTTTATTTAGACAACCATACCAGTAAGAATCAAATTTGTCAAATTAGTTTTTTAGTGAATAGTAAATTGAAAATTATTAACTAATTTTCCAGGCTCATATTTGTTTGTATGTCATAATATACCAAAATTCTGAATTTTTAAAAAATTTCTTTTTGTAACAGTTCTATCTAGGGATTATACACAGATGTTAAGCAAGCAGTCTATCACTAAACTATATACCCAGCCCAATTGTTTCTCTAAAAACAAAAACAATGGTACACAACTATAATCCAAACTACTTTGTTGTTTTGTGTTGTGTTGTGTTGTTTTTTGCTGCCAGAAGCTTGAACTCAGGGCCTGGGCTCAGCTTTTTAGCTCAAGGTTAGTGTTCTACCACTTGTGCCACAGCATCACTTCTGGTTTTCTGGTGGTTAATTGGAGATAAGGAGCCAAGTGTGAGAGACTTATCTCCAAATGGTAGAGTGCTTGCCTTGAGCCGAATAGCTCACCACAGCACCCTGGCCCGGTGTTCAAGCCTTAAGCCTTGTGACTGACAAAAAACAAAACAAAACAAAAAAACTTTCCTGCCCCTCTGGCTATGAACTGTGATCTCAAATCTCAGTCTTTTGAGTAGCTAGGATTAGAAGTGTGAGCTACCACAAGATCCACCAAACTACTTAGAAGGCAAAGATCATGGTTTCAGGCCTGGACAGGCAAAAAATTAGGAAGATCTGACTTAGGGTCTTGCTAGTCATGGTGTGGCAAGCCTGTATCTCCAGCCATATGGAAAGCATAGGTAGGATGATTATTATGATTCAGACTGGTTCCAGGCACAAAGCAACAGGCTGTATTTGAAAAATAATGAAAGCAAAATAGGGGTGAAGATGTAGCCCAAGTGGTAGAGCAGCTGCCTTGCAAGCTCAAGGCATGGAGTTCTAATTCCAATACTGCCAAAACAATAAATCAAAATAAAAATAAAAAAACTTTGCATACATGTAAAATGTTCTTGTATTTGTTTTTGTTTTACCTTCTTATTAATGTGTGTACCACACATGCTATGGTAAATGTAACAATAAACAGACATAGGTGTAGACACTTAAATATCTGTTGAGTAAAGAAATGTTGTGTACCTTAATTGTTCTGGGCATTTTTCCTTGTCACTATACTTATTCTATAATCTATATACTTCTGTACTTTATTTAGAAGTATATGGTATTGTACGATGTGGGATATGTATGTATATTTTTAGCTTATCTGCTTTTTATTATCATTTTAATGGTCTTTATTTTGTCACAGAATTCTGCATTACTTTTGTCTACTTTGGTTTGGGCTTCTGAAAAATACGGACAAACTGTAGTAAGGGATTTGCATGTGAACTTAACCTTTTATTTTTTTTGGGTCGGGTTGTGGGGCCTGAACTCTGGGCCTGGGCACTGTCCCTCAGCTCTTCAGCTCAAGGCTAGCACTCTACCACTTGAGCCACAGCGCCACTTCCGGCTTTTTTCTTTTTTCTTCTGTGGTGCTGAGGAATCAAACCCAGGGCCTCAGGCATGCAAGGCAAGCGCTCTACCACTGAGCCACCTTCCCAGCCCTTAACCTTTTTTTTGAGAGAGAATCTTACTGTGTTACACCATTGGCCTTGAAGTTTTAGGATCAGGTGATCCTACTTCCTCCTCCTCACAAGTAAATAGGACTGCAGGCACACCCAGCTTAAATTTCACTTTTTGAAGGGATTTTGTCATTATCTTATAATAACTTATATTTTTTCGCCTGCTTCGTCAATTTGGGCATTATAAAGTTCATCTAGAATTTTTTCTGTATTATATATTAACAAAGTTATGTCTATGTACTTATGTGGCTCAAAGAGATGTTGTAATGTCTAAGTATAATGTGGAATGATTGTAAGAAATACAATATTTATATGTATTACAGTTCATATATCTTTTTCTGTGAGTTGCTGACTTAGGTGACAACATTTAATTACAGCATTCTTCTGAAAGAGGCTAAATTTAATAAAAACACCTTTTATCTCCTCTTTGAAGGCATCCTTAATGAAAAAGCCAGTTGACTATGGAGAGATAGAGTCAATAGAAGATGGTACTTGTGACCATCTAAGGGAGGTAAATGATCCTTCATCCATGGATCTCTTTAGTGATTGCCCTGCTGCTGATGTGAGTGATTCCATTGAGTGTGGGGAGAGCCAGAGCACCATTGGTAAGTATCTACTTTCTGCTTGGGATTTATTTACCTCTTTTAATTTTTTTAATCAATTAATTGTAAAGAGGTATTTTATTACGATATTTACATGCATTCATGTAATGTGCTTGGATCACATTCACCTCACCATGTAAATTCCCCTCCTGTTCTCTCCTTTTTAACAGTTTTCTTTTAAATCTTTATATTAATTTGCTATTGTCAATAACCTCATTGATACCACTTGTGTGCTAATTTTACTTTCCCTTAGTATAGTCTATTCATATAGTTCCTTTCACCTTAAATTTCTCAGATTTTTAATTGAATTTACTAGTTTCCTATTTGAGTCTTCACAGAAGTAATTTTAAAGAAGTAAAATGAATGCTTTTTATTTTTAGGTGCCATGAATCCTTTAGCTGAAGAATATCTGTCAAAGCAAGATCTACTTCTTTTAGACATGCTCAGGTTCTTGTGCATGTGTGTAACTGTGCCTCAGACCAATACTGTGTCATTTAGGGCAGCTGATATTCGGAGAAAATTGTTATTGTTGCTTGATTCTAGCATACTGGATCTTGCTAAATCCCTCCACTTGCATGTGGTAAGTCAAACAAAGCAGCTCTTTGATGCTTTCTGAATGTAATAGCCTTACGTGTAAGAATCAGAATCACACAGTGCCTTTGAAGCCTTGAAATAAATTGAATTGAGAAATGAATCTTGGACTACTTGCATATATACAGATATAATTAGATATAGATGTTTGTGTATACTTACATATATACATATATACACAAACATACACACTTATACATACATACATATGTATATACATACATACATATGTATATACATGTTTTTAAGGTGAGGTCTTGCTATTTTGTCTAGGCTGACCTTAAACTTCTAGTATGAAGCTGTCTTCCTGGGATATTTATAGGCATGTGCTTAGCATTTTTTTTCCCTTTGAATATACTGTGAAAAAAATTTAGGTAGATGGTGAAACATTTAAACTTAGATATTACTTCCAGCTAATGGGAAAATGCTCTGATAATTTTATAGTTTAGCTAGAAAATGAGTTGACAACTGTCAAAAATTGGTTGCCACTGGGTGCTGGTGGGTCACGCTTATAATCCTAGCTACTCAGGAGGCTAAGATCTGAGGATCGTGGTTCAAAGCCAGCCTGGGCAGTAAAGTCCATGTGACTGATCTCCAGTAAACTACCAGAAAACTAGAAGTGGTGCTGTGGCTCAAGTGGTAGAGCACTAGCCTTGAGCTGAAGAGCTGAGGGACAGGGCCCAGGCAAAGAGTTCAAGCTCTATGACCGACAAACAACAACAAAAAACAAAACCTGGTTGCCTAGTTGTAACCAACACCCTTGTAACGGGGCACAGCCCTGTGTATCTGCCAGTGTCATTACCATGTTGTTTTCTAAGAAAATGAGTGAAAGCATTTGAGTTCTTCTCTGCCCATGACCATTTCTGCTTTCTAAAATTCATTAGTATAATAGTTTTTGGTCATTTAGTTCTTATATCCAGAATTATTTTGGAAGGATAGGGAGCTAATACAGTCTGTGATTCTTTATCTTAACTGCAGTAATGATGATAATAGCTATTTATTGCAAGAGATTTATTTTCTCTAATCCTCCCAATTATCTGACCAATTAAGTGATACCTAACCATTTTACTGGAGAGAGCACTGAGGACCAGGTGATATATGGCTGGTCTTTTAATTACACAAAGCTGTTGTGAGGGGATTTTAAACCAATTGTATTTAACTTGCAAGGCATTTTTAAAAATTATATACCTTCTTTAAAAATCTGTAGCTTCTTATGTACGTGTGCATGAGCTTATGTTTATATATGTAAAGTAAATGGTTTATAAATAAAAGTGATATTTCTCTCCCATCTCAGTACTTGGTGCTTTTAAAGGGGCTTCCTGGAAAAGAATGTCCTTTGCCCATGGAAGATGTTGTGGAGCTTCTGAAACCACTATCGTAAGAAATTAAAACCATATGTTACATTCAATTTAAGTTTACAGTTTATAAGTTGTTGTTTTCTGCTAAACTTACAAGGCTAAACTTTCCCACCATAGCCTTGTGTGTTCTTTATATCGTCGAGACCAAGATGTTTGTACAACAATTTTAAACCATGCCCTTCATGTAGTGACAAACCTAGATCAAGGCAGTGTGGACACTGAGAGCACAAGGGACGCACAAGGACAGTTCCTCACAGTGATTGGTGCATTTTGGTAGGTAACAGTAGTCTACCTTTTGGAGTGTTTATGTTTCTTTTGCTGCCTCTGAATACAAATGCAAAGTTTGCATTCTACATAAGTGATTTCTTCTGATTCTTCTAGGTAACTCTTGTTTATTTTAGCTAGAGCAGAAAGTAATGTGTTTCCCTTCTTGTTAGAAAAACTCCATTGTTTTTCCTTAGGCTTCACTTTCTTAGTTTAGTATATTTTTCTGCAAATTTTTTTTAAATTTAATTTTATTTTATTTGTGAACATACTGTACAGAGGGGTTACAATTACATGGGCAGGATAATGCGTACATTTCTTACCAAGCATTGCAGCCTCCTCCTTTGTTTACCCTTCACATCCCTTCCCAGCCTCCCCCCTTTTTCTGCAAATTTTGAATCATTTAATAGTGTGGCAATATGGCAAATAAGGTCCAACAAAAATATATCAGATGAATTCTTGCTTGTTCTAGCATTGTAACAGTGTTATCCATATTGTCATCCTCTTAACACCTGATACTTACAGAAGAACAAAAATAAATATATAAATATATGTATATGTGAAATTTAGAGCTCTCATACTATTTGATAAGGATTTGGAAGTCAATATACAATGTGGTTTTGAAACCTTTCATAGAACAACCAAACATTAAAAAAAATTCTTTTTAAAATAAGTTTGTGATTTTCTGCAATATGACAGCTACAAATAGAGGCATAATTGTTAAAACTAACAACATTATCATGAGCTTGTTTCATTTAGCTTGAATTTTTGGAAGAGTGGAATTTATTGGCATGTTTCACATAAGGAGAACTCATTTAGTATGGAAAGAAATTTTGCAAACAACCTATTAAAAACATATCTAGTTATTCTTTTGACTGTTTTTATTGGAATGAATATTTTACATTGAAAATCTCACTTGATTTCAGGCATCTAACAAAGGACAAGAAATGTTCATCCTCTGTAAGAATGGCTTTAGTAAAATGCCTTAAAACTCTGCTTGAGGTACGTTGTTCCATATTATTAGTAAGGTTTCTATTGATAATTCAAAACAATTTTTATTTCTGCTTGGGAATGAGTGACTTTTCTGGCAATGTTTCATATTTAACCTCACATATCTTTCTCTATAGGCCGATCCCTATTCAAAATGGGCTGTTCTTAATGTGATGGGAGAAGACTTTCCTGTAAATGAAGTGTTTCCACAATTTCTTGCTGATGATCACCACCAAGTTCGTATGTTGGCTGCAGGGTCGATCAATAGGTAATGAGTTAGGTTTTCATGAACTGTTTCTAATTCTGCACGTTTTTAATGTCTAGCACAGTTAAAATGTCCATGAAGTAATAATTGGGAAAATAAATTAATGTGTTTGAAGAAGAGATTGCATGCTGCTTTACAACATAAAAGCTGAAAATCATTGGGCTGGGAAGTTGGCTCAGTGGTAGAGCGCTTGCCTTGCATGCCTGAGGCCCTGGGTTCGATTCCTCAGCACCACATAAGCAAAAAGAAAAAAGCCGGAAGTGGTGCTGTGGCTCAAGTGGTAGAGTGCTAGCCTTGAGCTGAAGAGCTGAGGGACAGCACCCAGGCCCAGAGTTCAGGCCCCATGACCGGACCAAAAAAAAAAAAAAAGCTGAAAATCATTTGAGTAATTTTGCTATTTAGATGTAAGTGAGTAATAATAGAAGATCCCACAAAGAAATTGTGCCAGCACTCATATAAATATGAATGTCAAAGCCGGGTGCTGGTGGCTCACGCCTGTAATGCTAGCAACTCAGGATGCTGAGATCTGAGGATCGTGGTTCAAAGCCAGCCAGGGCAGGAAAGTCTGTAAGACTCCTACTCCAATAAACCACCAGAAAAATAGAAGTGGCACTGTGGCTCAAGTGGTAGATTGCTCACCTTGAGCAGAAAAGCCCAGGCTCAGAGTTCAAGCTCCACGACTGACAAAAATTTAAAAAAGAATGTTAGAAGCTTTGAGTTACCCTAAGTGGTTGGATATTATGCAAAATACACTGATCAGTATTTCTCCATCACATAAAACCATTTAAATAAAATGTCAAGATACTCACTTTTGGGGTAAATATTACAGTACATTGACAAGACTTTGTGGCCTTTTCTGATCATTGTGTGACAAGAGGACAGTTTAGCTTTTCTGGCAGATAGATTTCAGTGTGTTTCAAGAGCATTAGAGGTCATTTGATATTGTCTTCACTTATAGGAGAAAAGAGATTATATATTCAGGATCTTAATGCTAAATGGGTAGTCTGAACCTGCTTAAAATTTCATTAGTCTTGATCAAGGAAAGAGGTAGTATGTTTGCCTTGCAGAATAGTTTATTTTTGTTCTGTAATATGCTTAGGAAAGTAGAATCTGAATTTTCAAAAACTGATTTTTTTTTTGTCTTAAGATTATTCCAGGACATGAGTCAAGGGGATTGTTCCAAGTCATTGAAAGCACTTCCTTTGAGGCTTCAACAAAAAGCTTTTGAAAATGCATACTTGAAAGCTCAGGAAGGAGTGAGAGAAATGGTAATTTTACTATCACATATTTGCTACTATCACATGCTTTCTATGAATATATATAGCTTTAGCAATTTCAGCATAAGACAATTTGTATCCAGCACATTATAATATAAAACTAGTTTAAAGCAACTTAGGAATTGCATACAATTGGTTTATATAAAGGTCGAGGTGGATCAAATAGTAGCTATTTCTTTTGGTTCAATATATGTGTAATGTTTTTGTACAGAAAAACCAAATTTAACTGAGGTTTTATGAAAGTTTAATTTGTTTCCTTTTTTATTTAAATCTTTTCTGTAAGATCTGGTGAAAGCTCATTAAGTAAACAGGTGACAATAGGTAGAAATATATTGAGAAGTAACACAGATAAAAATTATCTAATTCTTACTGAAACTTGTGATTTTTTTCACATTTCTCTGTAGAAGTATATGTGTGTATGCATGTACATGCGTCAATCTTGAACTTGAACTCAGGGACTGGACACTGTCCCTAAGGGTTTTTTGTTGTTGTTGTTCTTGTTGTTTTTGTTTAAGACTAGTTCTCCAGTACAGCTTTTGTTTCACTTTTAGAAAAGAAGATTTTTAAACTAGGATTTTAAGGAGAATATAGGTCTGTATCTTATTACGAGGAATGAGTGAGACTGATTTAGTGGAAAGTTCCTGATGCTTTCACACATATTAATGATTTAGGACCAAAATTAGATCCTTACCTTTTGTACCAATAGACCATGAACATCTGTATGGAGCAAATTTTATGAATGTAAAGAAAACCTTGTATCAAATATAGTAAAAAAAAAAAAAAAGTTGGAATTTTATAGCATTGGGCCATTATACTAAAGGTCCATACTCTTTCTAGTTACATGATTTTATTTGCATTTTGACATCATTTATCACATAGGTGATACTATTTTTTAAAAATATAAAGAGCTATATGTTAAGGTGTTTTAATGATAAAAATCATCTTAAGAGTTATACTTCATAAATAGAAGGGCTATTTTTATTTGTGTGAATGCCAGTCCTGGAGCTTGAACTCAGGATTTGGGGTTGTCCCTGAGCTTTTCTGCTCAAGGCTAGTGCTCTATCACTTGAGCCATAGCTCCACTTTCAGCCTTTTGGATGCTTAATTGGAGATTAAGAGTCTCACAGACTTTCCTGCCCTAGGCTGGCTTTTCCTTTGTCAGTTCTTTCCATAAGATTTTGTGAAGAGTAATTTTTCTACTATAAGAACCATTTTCTCAAATCTATAGTCTTAGCTCTCCCACAGTTGGACTTAAAACACACTTCACAGGCTTCATAGATGTCATAGACTGCTTTGATTTTAGCATTGTTTATTCATTATTAATGTTCAACTATTTACATTATTGTCTTTACAATTCTTTTGAAGTCCCACAGCACTGAGAACCCTGACCTTTTGGATGAGATTTATAATAGAAAATCTGTTTTACTGATGATGATAGCTGTGGTTTTACACTGTAGCCCTATCTGTGAAAAACAGGCTTTGTTTGCTTTATGTAAATCAATGAAAGAGAATGGATTAGAACCTCACCTCGTGAAAAAGGTATGTGTGGATGAATGCATATTTATCATGCTCTTTACAGGATAACATGTTTTTGTTTTTTTATGGTGCTGGAGATCAAATCCAGGGCCTCATGCGTTAGCAGGTGCTTTACTACTTAGCTGGGTCTTCATCTTCTTGTATAACTTCTAAACAAAACAATTAGAGCTACATTTTTAAGTTGGTACTTGTTAAGAATGGGAAACAATTTTTTTTTAAGTTGGGACACTTGGAAAATAGTTCAATAACTTTTTTTTTCCTAGTGATTGGGCTCAAACTCAGAACACTAAAGTGTTAGTGCTAGGCAAACACCTTACCATCGATGTATATTGTAGACTCAGTTTAATCACTTTAAGTGATATATTCATCTGTTGGCAGTAGCATTTCTTAAAATCCAGCTTATGAACATTTTATGAAGCTTTCTTTTTTATTTTATTTTATTTTTTGCTGGTCTTGGGGCTTGAACTCAGGATCTGGTCTCTGTCCCTGAGCCTATCTGTAGAAGGTTAGCACTCTACCACTTGATCCACAGTGCCACTTCTGGCTTTTTCTATTTATGAGGTACTGAGGAATCAAACCCAGGGCCTCATGTATTAACATACCACTAAGCTACATTCCCAGTCCATGAAGCTTTTCTTTTGCATGCATATGTGCCAGTCCTGGGGCTTGAAACCAGTGCCTGGGCACTATCTCTGAGCTTTTTTGCTCAAGGCTTGTGTTCTACCACTTCAGCCACAGCTCCACCCCACTTCTCGCTTTTTGTTGTTGTTAAATTGGAGATGAGAGTCTCACAGACTTTCCTGCTCAGGCGGTCTTTGAACGGCAATTCTCATTTCTCAGCCTCCTGAGTAGCTAGGATTGTAACCTTGAGCCACAGGTACCCAGCTCATGAAGCATTTTTTAGTTATACAGACCAGGCTCTCTGGAATAGAGTTTATTGAAGGAAGCATGTAGATAAGAACATTACCAGTTGTTCTGTCTGGTATATTCTGTGGCAGCACATGGGAAATTTTAAAAAGCTAGAAATCAAACATTATGATTTTATGATTGGGGAAGGAGGACTGAGTCCAGTACTTGCATCAATCCTGTGTTACAGAATGTAGCTCCTCTTCCTTTTTTACCAGTGCAGAATTCATGGTTTGAGAAGTTTTAGAACTTTCTCTTATGGGTTTTTAGGTAATGAATATGGGCTGCTAAGCACTGTCAAAATTCTGCAAGCATAGGAACTGTGTTGCTGTATAGTATGTCAATACTAGATAATTGGTTTTAGGCACATTAACCTTTTCTCTCTCAGTAATTGAGTTTTTTTTTTAGGTATATACCATTGTACTACTCACATTATTGTCTGTGATATGTTACATTTGATTTTTTAAAAATTTGCGTTTAAGACAGATATTTACCTTAAGCTCTCCTTTGAGATATAGTCAGGTGTTGGAAATTATAATTGATTTTCATGTTTTTATTTTTAGGCATTTAACATCAATTAGAGATTTGCTTTGTGCCAGATACTATGCAGTATTTACTTATACATTTCTTATTTCCTCTTTTATTATCCTATTTCATTATTTAAAAATTCAAGGTATAGAAAAAAATTAATGCTTTAAAGCACTACTATAAATAATAATCCCAAAGATTTGAGTGATTTAATTTTTAAAAAATTTTAAAGCATCATTCTTTTTTGTTTGTGCAGGTTTTACAGCAAGTTTCTGAAACTTTTGGGTATACACATTTAGAAGATTTCATGGCTTCTCATTTAGATTACCTTGTTTTGGAATGGCTAAATCTTCAAGAGACTGAATACAACTTATCTTCTTTTCCTTTTATTTTATTAAACTATACAAATGTTGAAGATTTCTACAGGCAAGTTTGTTTACGTCACATACAGAAAAATATTTAATTTCAAATTAGGTAATAATGTTTGGCACTTCTGTGTCCCATCTATCTAGACACAGAAGGGTCTGTAGAATGTGAGGATTAAGACACCTTGTTTGAGAATGTATTGAAGATGTTATTGGTCTCAGGATGTGGTTCTAGTTTTGTTGGTAAATATCTGGGTAGCCTTGAATGAGCTGCAACTTGATTTAAAAAAAAAATACCTGTAAACATGCCTGTAATACTAGCCACTCAGGAGACTGAGATCTGAGGATCATAGTTCAAAGCCAGTCCAGCAGGAAAGTCCGTGACACTTTTACTTACAATTAACCACCAGAAAACTGGAAGTGGCACTGTGGCTCAAGTGATAGAGCACTAGTCTTGAGCTGAAGAGCTGAGGGACAGTGCCCAGGCCCAGAATTCAGACCCCACGACCGACCACCCCCTGCCCCCCAAAAAATGCATGTACCTGTAAAGAGTTATACAAGGAAATCTTGCCTTTGAAAAATTTTGAAGATAAATTACTAGAGGCTGCCTTGATTTTCTTTCTGTTGCTTGATAATCATTATTTTTATTGTATCTAGAAGTTTAAAAGAATTCATCTTGATGCTGTAACTAGAAAAGGACATTTTGAAAATAGATTTAAAACAGGGTATTGTTTAGGTATCCAATTATGGGAAGTCATGTATTTTTGTTGAGCATATTCTGTGATAAGCACTTCGCTAGGTATTTTGTATGTAGTATATCATGGATTATAAAAATCTGTATGTAGATAATTGCTTTTAAGACTGTTAAGACAGGAAGGATTTGTTGGTCCTTAAATCATCCTTTCTTTATAATAATATTTTGCATATGTTCTTTAAATTTATAAATTGCCATTTATTTCATTCAGAAATAAGAGTAAGAGTCACTTTTTTCTAGGCAATTTTGTGGGTGAGGGTATATGTGTCTGTTTAGAATTTGGTGGTGGTGTGGCTCAAGTGGTAGAGTGCTCGCCTTGAGCCAAAGAGCTCAGGGACAGTGTCCAGGCCTAGAGTTCAAGCCCCACGACCGACCAAAAAAAAAAAAAAAGGCAATAGAATTTTTGGGCTGGGAAGGTAGCTCATGGGCTGGGAAGGTAGCTTAGTGGTAAAGTGCTTGCCTTGCATGCAAGAGGCCCTGGGTTCGATTCTTCAGCACCACATAAGCAAAAAAAAAGTTAGAATTTGCTTAGCTATTTTTCCACTTTAAAATTATATAGTAAGAGCCAGACACCCGTGGCTCTTGCCTGTAATCCTAGCTACTCAGGAGGCTGAGATCTGAGGATTGCAGTTAAAAGCCAGCCCAGGCAGGAAAGTCTGAGAGACTCCTCTCTCCAATAAACTACTCAGAAAAAGCTGGAAGTGATGCTGTGGTTTAAGGTAGCGCACTAGCCTTGAGCACAGAGAATCTTAGGGACAGAGCCCAGATCCTGAATTCAAGCCCCAGGATAGGCAAAAAAAAAAAAAAAAAAGTAAAAATATTTAATAATTTTAAAATGATGCTCTAATGCTGATGAAGGCATTTTATTATTTCAAGAAGTATATTAAAGTTTTAACTTTGAAAGCATATAATCCATATTGTAAATTTTTATATTTTTAGATCTTGTTATAAGGTTTTGATTCCACATTTGGTAATCAGAAGTCATTTTGATGAGGTGAAGTCCATGGCTGATCAGATTGAAAAGGATTGGAAAACTCTTCTAATAGATTGCTTTCCAAAGATTCTTGTCAATATTCTTCCCTATTTTGCCTATGAGGGAACACACGACAGTAGGATGGCACAGCAAAGAGAGACTGCTTCCAAGGTCTATGATACACTTAAAGGTGAAAACCTACTGGGAAAACAGGTATGACTTCAACGTTTACCAACCTTTTATCTCTCAGATGGCTTCAGATGGAAGCCTTGAAATGTAAAGCTATTTATTTTTTATTATTTGTACAATTAAATCCAGCATGTAATCACTAACCATAACTTACTATTAATAGTGTTTTTCATTTCTCTTGGCTTTTTAAAATTTTTTTTAAATTGTAATTATAAATACAGAGGGGTTACAGTTACATAAGTACATGTTGAACAGTGTCACCCTTTCCTTGCTCTGTCCCAGATTCAGTTGGCTTTTAGTTAAGTTGGGACGGTCTAAATTAGGAATGATAACAACAACAAATAAGAAATTATTTGATTGTTACTGCTTTTAAAATGTATTTTAATTGCCAGTAATGCATGAATATGATTTGGTGTTAAATTCAAATGATATTGAATTGTATTTACTCCCTCTTCAACTCACCAATTTTTCCATTTTTCAAGGAAGACTTCCATATCCTGCTTTTATTTTCTTTATTAGTCCTTTTTTTCTTTTTTCTTTTTTTTGTTGGTCATGGGGCTTGAACTCTGGGCTTGGGCGCTGTCCCTGTGCTCTTCAGTTCAAGGCGAGTGAGTTCTCTACGACTTGAAGAATGACAGCACCACTTCCTCTTTTCTAGTGAAGTGTCTCACAGACTTTCCTGCCCAGGCTGGCTTTGGACTGTGATCCTGAGTAGCTAGGATTATAGGTGTAAGCCACCAGCGTCCAGCTTTTTTTTTTCATATTTAACCCAGGAAATTTTGTTTTTTTCTGTTATTAAGCCCATATTGTCCTGGAACACAAAATCTGCCTGATTAGCCCTGTGAATGCTGGGATTATAAGGCTAATGTAGTGTTTTTATAATAGAAAAACCAGCAAAGAGTTAATGTTTACACAAACCGTAAATGTATAGGGGACAAACTTAACTTAGATGTACTCATGTTGAGAAATCTGAAACTTAGCAAAAGTTTTTACTGCAATAGTAATCAAGTGAGGCAAATATATGTTAGTAGAAGAGAGATTGGAAAGAAGTATCCCCAACTGTTAATCTGTTTAAGAAATGAATATGGTTATTTTGTTTCTGATACATTTTACCTTCTGACATAAAGTTTACATTGCTTATTTTGTTTTCTCCACTAGCAGAATAGCACCATAAATGTAGTTTTTTATGGTTGTTTTTGTGTGTGTGTGTGTGTGTGTGTGTGTGTGTGTGTGCGTGCGTATGGGTGTTTTAGATTTTTTTTCTGTTTATTTTCTGTTGATGTATCTCAGCATTTTAATGAACAATACAAAGTGTTTTTTTTCAGGTTTTTAAAAATTATTCTTTTCAGGGCTGGGAAGGTGGCTCAGTAGTAGAGTGCTTACCTTGAATGCTTGAGGCCTGGATTCGATTCCTGAGCACCACATAAGCAGAAAAAGCCGGAAGTGACGCAGTGGCTCAAGGTGGTAGAGCACTAGCCTTGAGCTGAAGAGTTGAGGAACAGAGTTCAGGCCCCATGACCAACAAAAGAAAGAAAGAAAGAAATTTTTAAAAATTATTCTCTTAAATCTGAATACAAAGTCTTGGTTAGTTGAGTGTTTAAAATTGAAGAACTGCATTAAGAGGTCTTTATTTGGGATTATTTCCCTACACTTGTCACTCCAAAGTTGGCTGTAGAAGAAAAGGAAAATAGAGTTAGCCATGTTATAAGTCTTAGGCTTTTATCTGTTTTCCCTTATCATCACAGAAGGACTGTCTTAAAGGTCACTTATATGATATGTGTGTGTATGTGTGTATGTGTGTGTATATTTAGTATATTTCACTTTTGTGTCCTTGCAGATTGATCACTTATTCATTAGTAACTTACCAGAGATCGTGGTAGAGTTATTGATGACCTTACATGAACCAGCAAGTTCTAGTGCCGGCCAAAGAACTGACCTTGGTGACTTTTCAGGGTATGCACATTTAAACTTGGAAAGCTAGTTGCATTTTACAGATCCCTCAGCAAGTTTTTTTTTATTGATTGACACCTCCAAATGTCTATGTCAGGCTTTTTAGACCATGTGTTTATAATAGTACTAGTATAAAGCCTTTTTTTTTTCCCCAGTCCTGGCACTTGAACTCAGGGCCTGGGAGTTGTCCCTGAACTCTTCGTACTCAAGGCTAGCTTCCTACCACTTGAGCCACAGCCACTTTTGACTTTTTTGAGTAGCTTATTGGAGATAAGAATCTCAGGAGGACTTTTCTGCCTATGCTGGTTTTGAAGCACGATCCTCAGTCCTCAGCCGCTTGAGTAGCAAGTATACAGGTGAACCACCAGCACCTGGCTAATATAAAGCTTTTCAGGAAGACCTAAAGTGAAGTGAAACTAAGCTCATTTGTGAAGCTGCCACTAAAAAATTAGTTAAGCAGCCATCATTTAAGATTAGTAAATCCTCAGGGTTACAGTGAGTCATATATGAGAGTTATATCATTTGTGATTTTCATTAAAAATGAATTTTCAATAGATGAATAGTTTCTAAATGTGGGAGTTATTAAGTAAGGTTTTGTTTTGGATGTTCACTGCTATGACAACAAAATGTGTGTTTCTTGATAATTTTGAGAATGATGATGATGTTTTCCTGCAACTCTTAGGGATTTGGATCCTGCTCCTAACCCACCTTGTTTCCCATCACATGTTATTAAAGCAACATTTGCCTACATCAGCAATTGTCATAAAACCAAGCTTAAAAGCATCTTAGAAATTCTTTCCAAAAGCCCTGTAAGTATATAATTCTATTATAAAAATTGTCAGATAATTCCTCTTTCAGCTAGAAAGTCTATATCAGTGCATCCTAAAAAATTTTAAAACTTATTTGAGTAATTAAAAGGAAAATGATTATTTATAAGTTCATACCTTTGTATATTAACAGTTTACTGACATGTAAAACAAAAGGCTAGCCGGGCGCTGGTGGCTCACGCCTGTAATCCTAGCTACTCAGGAGGCTGAGATCTGAGGATCGCGGTTCAAAGCCAGCCCGGGCAGGAG